TAGTGAGGTTTTATGTTTATTTCATTTAATTTGCAAACTGCTGACTTAAACTTAAAGTGATATGACAAGAGGCCACTGCCCTCACATAGTATAATGAATAGAACACGGGTCTATTCAATTCAGTATATGCTACGAATTCTATAACAGGGCACCAATGAATAGGAAAGCTTGGCTATTCGATTCTGTTTTCAATAGCTTGCACCTGCAATTTTTGAATAGTTACGTAACAAACTACTCAGCTCTTTCTGACATGGCATCAATAATATTAGTGAATTGAAAACAAACCTGACCCTCCCTTCATTGAGTGACTTTTGTTTGGTCAAATGCGAGGATTACCAAAGAGGAGGTAATAATAGCATTCCTGACATTGCAACAATGACCGCGTTATTTTGATGCATTGTCCCTAAACCTACCGAAGAGGCTCTTTGTCCTTGTCTGGGAGGACAAGCACTTTAGACTGGGGCTGTAGTCTCATTTAAAGAAAGGAAAACAACTTCAGTTCAAGACGGTTCAAAATAATGCTTGGAAATGGAAATTCAAATGATACCGTTTTAAAAACCAGAAAGATATGGTTTGAGGACAAGAAGCAGGATGTAGGCCTATAATTCATTGCTCGGCAATCTTGACTGTATTTAAAACAGAGCATCCAATATACCTGATATTTAATAGTACTGTACAATGTTAATTAAATAAAATAACTAAATAAACAAACAAATAATGGACCTCTTTAGCCAAGACTGTGGATTTTTATTGTTGAGCACTAAATGATTCTGCTCGGTCATACAGGCTAGGTGGGGGAATGCTTTCAATAGACTTAAATTTGAAAGGCCCTTTGTATCACTTCGTGCAAAATGACATAGGGCGCTTCTAATAAATTTATACGAGAAGTAAAACCCTGTTCATCATTATTTTCGTGTTGCAAAGTTGTTTACAGACTAAAAAAGGAATAGTACGGGACTGTAGAGAGTGAATAAAACTAGGAAATTATAATTGAAAATGTAAAACAACGTTGTAAACCTAGCGATAAGAGGCTCTTGAATCCAGTTTTTAAATGGACATGGCTTTGGGGCTACGCTGTCGATTGCCAGCTAGCTGTCGATTGCCAGCTAGCTGTCGATTGCCAGCTAGCTGTCGATTGTCGATTGCCTACCCACTAGACTAAAGTGTCACATTGCTAATCTTCATGTATTCTTCATACTTACACTAATTGTTGTAGATGTAGCAAAAGATGTTTTCTGACTAATTCAGAGAGTCGCTTGTTAAAGAAAGAGTATTACATGCTATTTTTTCTTTGTTGAGGGGGGGGGTGTCCCCTTTAAAAAAGAGATGACAAGTCAATATAATGGAGTGAAGAAAAAAAAATAACATGGGTTTATATAAAAGAGAAACTGAGACTCGAACCGAGTACATTGCATTGTGAAGTGATCACTTTTATCCACAAGACCATTTTGCCTCACCGTGATAACTGGTTCGCTTTTTGTTGTTAACACTTTCTGCATGCTAATGACTTTACAAAATGTGCCGATTTACTGATTTGACGCTTTCGGGATGCATTATTATCATTATTTTTGTAGTCCGATGTTGTCAAGATTGCCCGTATTTTTTTTCTTTCAGTTACTGATATTCCTGATATAATAGTGAGGTTTTATGTTTATTTCATTCAATTTGCAAACTGCTGACTTAAACTTAAAGTGATATGACAAGAGGCCACTGCCCTCACATAGTATAATGAATAGAACACGGGTCTATTCAATTCAGTATATGCTACGAATTCTATAACAGGGCACCAATGAATAGGAAAGCTTGGCTATTCGATTCTGTTTTCAATAGCTTGCACCTGCAATTTTTGAATAGTTACGTAACAAACTACTCAGCTCTTTCTGACATGGCATCAATAATATTAGTGAATTGAAAACAAACCTGACCCTCCCTTCATTGAGTGACTTTTGTTTGGTCAAATGCGAGGATTACCAAAGAGGAGGTAATAATAGCATTCCTGACATTGCAACAATGACCGCGTTATTTTGATGCATTGTCCCTAAACCTACCGAAGAGGCTCTTTGTCCTTGTCTGGGAGGACAAGCACTTTAGACTGGGGCTGTAGTCTCATTTAAAGAAAGGAAAACAACTTCAGTTCAAGACGGTTCAAAATAATGCTTGGAAATGGAAATTCAAGTGATACCGTTTTAAAAACCAGAAAGATATGGTTTGAGGACAAGAAGCAGGATGTAGGCCTATAATTCATTGCTCGGCAATCTTGACTGTATTTAAAACAGAGCATCCAATATACCTGATATTTAATAGTACTGTACAATGTTAATTAAATAAAATAACTAAATAAACAAACAAATAATGGACCTCTTTAGCCAAGACTGTGGATTTTTATTGTTGAGCACTAAATGATTCTGCTCGGTCATACAGGCTAGGTGGGGGAATGCTTTCAATAGACTTAAATTTGAAAGCCCTTTGTATCACTTCGTGCAAAATGACATAGGGCGCTTCTAATAAATTTATACGAGAAGTAAAACCCTGTTCATCATTATTTTCGTGTTGCAAAGTTGTTTACAGACTAAAAAAGGAATAGTACGGGACTGTAGAGAGTGAATAAAACTAGGAAATTATAATTGAAAATGTAAAACAACGTTGTAAACCTAGCGATAAGAGGCTCTTGAATCCAGTTTTTAAATGGACATGGCTTTGGGATTGCCAGCTAGCTGTCGATTGCCAGCTAGCTGTCGATTGCCAGCTAAAAAAAGACCCCCCCCCCCCCAAAAAAAAAGACCCCCCCAAAAAAGACCCCCCCCCCCCAAAAAAAAGACTCCCCCCCCAAAAAAAAAGACTCCCCCCCCAAAAAAAAAGACTCCCCCCCCCCAAAAAAAAAAAAAAAATACCCCACCCCCCCCCCCCCAAAGGGGCTCCATTACAGTTTTTTCCTACACTCAGCTGCTCCCCCTCACCATAGGCCCTTTTTCAAGTTTTTTTTGAGGAATCCATTGACATATTGTGGTTTGGAACCCTTTCCCATACATCAACAACACCAACAATAATTATTTTATCACACCAAACTATGAGTGAGATGAAAATGGGTTCTAACATCAGTTTTTCTTTTTCAAAGATTTATTAAAAAAAAAAAATAAGCACTAGCTGGGAGTCGAACCCGATACCTTCCAGTTGCCAGGCGTTTGCCTATCCACTAGACTAATGTGTCACACTGGTAATCTTCATGTATTTTTTCATATTGATACTTATTTTTGTAGATGTAGCAAAAAACGTATTCTAACTAATTCAGAGAGTCGCTTGTTAAAGAAAGAGTATCAAATGTTATTTTCTCCTTTGTTGAGGAGGTGGGGTGGGGGGTGTCCCCTTTAAAAAAAGTAGATGGACACGTCAATATCATGGGGTAAAGAAAAAAAAATTAAAGAATAACATGAGGTATAAAGAAGAAGCTGGGAGTCGAACCCGAGTACATACATACATTGCGTTGTGAAGCGATCAGTCTTATCCGCAAGACCACTTTGCCTCACTGCTACTAAGTGGCTCACTTCTTGGTCTTATAGCACTTTCTGCATGTTAACGACTTTAATATGTTGATTTACTGATTTAACGATTTCGGGATGCATAATTATTCATATTTTTGCAGTCCGATGTTGTCAAGATTGCCCGTAAATGTTTTCTTTCAGTTACTGATATTTCTGATATAATAGTGAGGTTTTATGTTATTTTCATTTATTTTGCAATCTGCTGACTTAAACTTCAAGTGATATGACAATAGGCCACTGCCCTGACATAGCATAATGAACAGAACACGGATCTATTCAATTTAGGATATGCTACGAATTCTGTAACAGGGCACAAATGAATAGGGAAGCTTGGCTATTCGATTCTGTGTTCAATAGCTTGCACCTGCAGCATCAATTAATAAATTGAAGAAAAAAACCCGACCCTCCCTTCATTGACGGAATATTTTTGTCAATTGCGAGGATTACATAAGAGGTAATAATAGCACTCATGACATTGCAACAATGACCGCATTATGTTGATGTATTGTCCATAAAGGTACTGAGAAAGTCTTTCTCCTTGTCTGCATGGAGGACACGCACTTTAAATATCCCAATAGAAAAAGGATAGAATGGGGCTGTAGTCTCATTTAAAAAAAGGAAAGCGATTTCGGGACAGTTCAAAATAATGCTGGGAAATGGAAATTAAAATGATACCGTTTTAAAAACCAGTTAGATATGGTTTAAGGACAAGAAGCATGAGATAATTCATTGCTCGGCAATCTGGACTGTATTTGAAACAGAGCATCCAATATTCCTGATATTAAATAGTATACTGTCAATGAAAAAATATAACTAAAAAAAATAATAATAATGGACCTCTTTACCCAAGGCTGTGTGTCTTTGTCGAGCACAAAATGATTCTGCTCGGGTATGCAGGCCAGTTGTTAGCCCATATTGGGCTTGAATAGACTTGAATTGAAAGACCCTTTGTTTCACCTCGCGAAGTTTGGGCGCTTTCATATGAGGAGTAAAACCTTGCCCATCATTGAATTCATGTTGTAAAGTTGTTTACAGACTGGAAAAGGATAGCATGGGAGTGTACAGATTTTGCCTCCAGGGGCGGATTAATGCCAATGGGTAGCCTCTATTATAACTAACTGTTGAATTACGGTAGGTGTATATTTAAGTGAACAACTTCACCGATGGAAGGGACCGGTCGGAGATGGGGGGGGGGCGAGCGCTTATGTCGTTTGGAATACGACATTTCTCAATTTTGTAATACTCCGAGTGAGTAGTAAACGAGAAAGTTAAAGTGAAAACAAAAACACAACCGCGATGATTCTTCAACCTATAACTGCTGCATACCAACAACCTATAGCTCCCTGCCCCGGTCGCCCCCCCCCCCCTCCACTCCCCTCCCGACACACATGCACTCTCATGTACACGTAACTGGACCTAGAGAAAACACACATTGTACAAAATAGGCAGTATAAAGCTCAATAACTTTAGAATAAGTATGTTTTTATAGTACACCTACCACACCATGAACTTGCTCATGCAATAAAACGGTGTTTAAATCTTTTTATTTATGATACATGTAGGCTATGTATGATACAATTGAAATTAAAATTGATCTTTATTTCATTCATCATCAATACATATACAATACCAAAGTGTCATATGAATGTGGAGACAGCAAGGAAAGCCAAATGCTTTATAGGTGCTGCCACCGACAAAAATAGTAATGGTTTCTAGTGCGAATGTCTAAAGCTTCAAACTGCCCGTCATAATATACAAATCAAGTGCATTATTTAAATCGTTATATATATTCAACAACAAATAGTATGAATACGAACTAAACCATAATAACACCGCAAAAGACCGCAAAGTTCGAAACTTTAATGACGTATACATAATCCGTTTACTCGACCTTATTCAAGAAATGTCGAGTGTAATGTAATGTTTGTAAAATCTACAAATAGTCTGGTACAATTTACCCGACACTTTAAGAAACCCTACGGCAAGTCTACGAAAGGTCGCGTATAACGCCCGACCAGACTCAATGACCAGATGATTCGGAGTTAGCCTGCATACATGCATACTCTCACCTATAATATAATTATTTACAAACTAAATAGTAAAATATAAATAGGATCTGATATAAATATATGAAAGATATATAATCTATGGAAGCGAGCTATTAATAATACTGCTTAATATCAAAATACTTTCATTGTCATGGATCTTGCATGTCATCAAAAGGCACAACCAGAAAATAACTTCCCGAGTAAATATAAATAAAGTTATAGCCTTCAAAAGATCAGGCAAGATAAATAAGCCTAGATTATTATATAGACCTCTTTCAGAAACACAACAATATGAATTAACTATCCCTCACAGTCTGTAAGAAACATACAAACTAAAGAGTAAAATATAAATAGGATCTGATATAAATATATGAAAGATATATAATCTATGGAAGCGAGCTATGAATAATACTGCTTAATATCAAAATACTTTCATTATCATGGATCTTGCATATCATCAAAAGGCACAACCAGAAAATAACTTCCCGAGTAAATATAAATAAAGTTAAAGCCTTCAAAAGATCAGGCAAGATAAATAAGCCTAGATTATTATATAGACCTCTTTCAGAAACAAAACAATATGAATTAACTATCCCTCACAGTCTGTAAGAAACATACAAACTAAAGAGTAAAATATAAATAGGATCTGATATAAATATATGAAAGATATATATAATCTATGGAAGCGAGCTATGAATAATACTGCTTAATATCAAAATACTTTCATTATCATGGATCTTGCATATCATCAAAAGGCACAACCAGAAAATAACTTCCCGAGTAAATAAAAATAAAGTTATAGCCTTCAAAAGATCAGGCAAGATAAATAAGCCTAGATTATTATATAGACCTTTTTCAGAAACATAACAATATGAATTAACTATCCCTCACAGTCTGTAAGAAACATTCATATTTTCAAATGTATAATCGTATCGTTTCAAACAAATATTGTTTCAATATCATACTAGTACAAAATTCTGGAACAACTTAAACTCTTTCCTTCACTCCCCACATTTACTCATGTTATACAAATATGATTTATGTACACTCTAATTCGTAGCGCATACACGTACTTTTACAGTTGTTTATCCCCCTTGTCAGTATTTTTACAGATCTTGTTGGGTGCAAAGATTTGGTAAAATGTCTAAGATTTGCAGGTAGTAATGCGTTAACGTATTCGAACATAAACAATGCCAGTTTTAACTTAATATTATTAAAACAATCCAAACAAGACTACAATAGATGGGATATGACTAGATGAATAATTTATATATCATGCATAAGTATTTGCAAGGTATAACTATAAAATGGGCTTACACATTTTGTTGGTATATATATATATATATATATATACATGTACTTATTTTTTCTTGAATACTGTTTACACGTTTGGTCCAAATTAGCCCTCCGTCGATTATGAGTCTAAGGAAGTTTAGGCTATGAACCTTTTCAATTTCATATAATATAGGCCTATATAATTATATATATATGCATTTATATATTCAATAAATTAGAAATATCCGTACATCCTTTTTCTTCTTTTTCTTCTTTTGGTTATGTATATAGCCTTAATTTTCCCCATTGACATTTCATTTTTAGATAGTCATGACCTATTACATCATAGTATAATAGACTATGCATCTCCTTATAAATGATAATTACATTTACAACCATGTGGTATCAAAATTGCTTGAATACCTAATTTGATTTTACATCACTTGCTAGATAAATTATATAAATTGTATACAGAGAAAGTGTTGTCAGCTTTTCTTTGTATGTGTTTTGTAATGTCCAGTCACACTACTTCCTGTAGTTTCAGATGGAGTCTTTTTTCGGTGGCTCTATGTATCCAGGGCTAAACCATACGGCTATCTGGTCAGGCTGGCAACATTTTTGTCGGAACAATCTAAGTTTACTTTAAAGGGTTAATAATTGTGAAATGGGTGACGATATTAGGACAGGCTCCAAGAGTCTGTTATTCTGTTTCCTTCTATTTTTGTTTAGTTAAGCGCATTATTTTTATGAAATTTATCTTCAAAGTTTGGATATACAATTCGTTGAAACTTGAAATAATACATGAAATAAAAAAAAATAATTCATAACTGTTTACACACGTCAACACCAACTTATCATGATGAAGACACACATCAAAGCTATCAAATAATTCTGGGTTGTGTCACTTTTCAAGACACATGATTGTGCACTTGATGCAGGACACGTATAATTTTTGCTTGCCTGAACAATTGGATGAGATGTTGGGTGTGGTGTCGACAGGACACCTGGGCAGGGGTCGATGACATTAGTAACTGCAGTATTTAGGATGGGATCCCAGGAACTGTCCTCACAATCACATCTTTCCGTCTGTTGCAAGGTAGAAGAACAGCAATACACCAAACTTGCTACATGTCTAGCTAATATTACCTGATCTAGAGTTCCGGGTGATGCCAAAGGGGGCAGCATCATGCCATCTTGATAGCACACGATCTCACCGGGTACATTATTACCCTCTGGAGCTGAACAATGTAGTCTGATCCATTCCCCTTCAATATACACTTCACCTGAATCACAAAATGCCTTGCCAGGAGGATAATCAACTCTCAACCCAACCCTTTTATCATATATATACCGATTATTATCATTATAAGCGGTAAGGATGTAGGTCCCTGCATCATTTCTTAAAACGGGGTTAATAGTCAGATGTGAGAAACATTCGTTGTTTTCACTTTCATCTTTGAAAGTGAGATTTTGATTTGGAGGCAAAGAGTTAGAGTTTGGATCGGCCGAGTTATATGTTGGGGCTCTGTTTCCGTACTGAAATGTAACTCTCGAAACGTTACATGGGTACGGGAAATCCAACTCTGCTAATTCTCCCTCCATGACATGTAGGATTGTCGCATCACATGTCATATACATTATGCCAAAGATAATGCTGGTATGAATCATCATTGCTATTGTAACTTACTTCTATTGTAATTACTTCTCGGAATGAGAGGCTGAAAAACTTGATCTGATAATAGCTTTTCGTACGTGACACACGTAAAACCCTGTACAAGAGTAACAGGTAGTTTTGTAACTACAATTTCAGGGGTACGTTTTATGGCTAGATTATGATTTAGATTGAATTCTGATCATGAACCCAAGCAAGATACGGAATTAACTTGACGCGTGAAAATAAATTTGTTTTTTAATTGAATTAAATTAGTTTAGGCCTATTAGAAAAACAACATGACATGCAGCTCAAGGTTGATATTGTCGGTTTTACAAAGTAATATTTACATTATAAAACAAGCGTCAAAATACAAAAGCAATCAAACGAAATATCAGGGGTAAATTCACACAGCAATATTATTATTTTTTCTAAAGTTTTATTTTAAACCAAGAATAGGCTAGACTACTCGTCCTTTATACGCCGGTTGGTTATTGGTAAGACAAATTTGTTAGTTCAAGTATCGCCTTAGAATTAAAGTAAATCAAAAGTCTTATGTAGAATCAAGATTTGTCACTGGAAAAAAATATATTGCAGACTCTCAAATAATCAAAGTAGGCTTCAATAATGTATCAGACATTTCTGCGTTCATAAGTCAATACTCTTCATAAGTTCATCAATATAGTAGAGCTTGGTTTTCGTTGAAAATGGACTTGTTTCAGAAGCTTTTTAATGGTTTGAATAGGGCTGTTTGTCCAGTCGGGCAAATAGGTACCTCAACGTGTGATTAGGTTGATCCTTCATATCCAATGCTCTTTCTGCTTGGTTCCTTGTTTGGTTGAATGCATACGATTTGTGTTATCTGGAAGGGAGGCAAATAAATAGAAATATAACAATGATAATACATGCAGAAAAAATGACGGACGGACGGACGGAAGGACTACCCAAAAACATTCACAGAGGAAGTTTGTAGACAAAACTAGGTTTATGTGCGTCATACTATGACGCGTTTTGATGCGTTTCAGGCCAAGGTTTGTGCCTTGGTCTGAAACACATCGAAACGCGTAATATGACGCTCATAAACCTAGGTTTGTCTACAAACCTCCTCTGTGAATTCGAGCCAACGCCTCCTGCACGCGAATAATTATGTTAAACCGAACGAAGGCAACTGAAGGTTCATGAATTATGCATTAGTTATCGTGGTGTATGTAGGGCGTCGCTAGACCTTTTTCAGTTGGGGGGGGGGGGGGGGGTGTAGAGGTCACCGATTACCGACAAAACTAAGCTTTGACGTTTCAACAAATTATCACTCTTAATCCTTGTCTGAATTCAGTTTCCCCCCTCTCGGCGAAGCGTGGAGGCTTTTACGTTTCATTCTTATTATGAGAGAAAGAAGACGATTTGTTGTACTGTTTTCGACTCTTTATCTTTGTCGGAATTTTCAAAAATGTTTCTTTGTCCGATAAAAAGTCACAGTTCGTAGGGGAAAAAATTGCCGGCCGACCGACATAATACATCTCACCGACTTCAAACTTCTGCATTGATATAGTAGTACACGAGAATCGAGCACGAATACCGACACAGCGGACCCAACACAGCAACATAATTATCTATGCGTATCTTTCTTGCTCCCTCGACGTGGTGACTCCACCCAACATCCCCATCTTTCTCTTACTCCCACCCCTATCTCCCTCTCTCCTCTCTTTCATCCCCGTTTTTTTTCCTTTTCATCTTTTTTCTTCTTTTTTTCCTTTTCTCCTTTTCTTTATTTTCTTTCTTTTCCTTTCGTTCCTCTCCTTCCTTTTTCTTTTTTCTTTCTTTCTTCTCTTCTCTTTCCTTTCTTTCCTTTTTTTTCTTCTTTTCTTTCCCTTTCCCTCTCATTTTCCCCTCCCCCTTTTCTCATGCTCCCTTTTCCCATGCCCCCTTTAGCGACGCCCCTGCATCGGTGTAGGAGGGGTATTCATGAGTAAGTCACTCCAGGAAGTCATTATAGAATTGGTAGAAGAATTCCTGCAATCTGATTGGTCAATTACCGTGAAGATAATTTTACTGGAAACACGCTATATCTTTCTTAAAATATTTTTTCCCTCTGCAATTCTTATAATTGTTGTCGTTGTAATCATTATTATTATCAATATTATTTTTCTTAATAAATAATTCTTATCATACCCCCCCCCCCCTTCATTTTCATAGATATTTCTTATTGTATAAAGACTACAGTACTGCAAAAATGAATACTATAGGCAATACTGGGATAGATCGAAAGCATAATTTCATTAATTTGTTTTGAAGCATATGCATTTCATGCGCTCTCTTAATTCTCTCTCAGACTTAAAGGCAAAACATGGAATATTTACATCAACTAAGTATAAGGAAGTTTGTTTCACCCGTTGTGTATACGTGTACTTCATATTTTACCCATAGTTGAAAGCAATGTCTTGTAGGTATCTTTACTTGAGATTCATATCTGGTCATCTCAGCTCATATAGTTATACTAAGTTATTAACTGGTGTAAAACTAACTATAAAAACACTCTTGTATAAAACCACCAATTTTTTTACATGTATACAAGTCATGTTTAAGCTCTGCTTACGGTACAAAAAGACATACAATGAGACAATATAATTTTAAAAACTCGCTAATGAACCATGGGTGTCGCCTGAATGTACACGTACATGATCACCATCCTACTCTTAATGTCTCTTTAACCAAGGGTCTTTACTACTGAGTTTTGATCAAACGTAAGCAAATGTTTTACAAATAAAAGCAATTCGTCAAAGCAATAGTCAAAGCTAAAAGTCCTATTCAAGTCTACGTTAACCTTAGCTATCGTGAATTCATAACCCTTTAAAAGTTGATTTTAAGCAAGATTTGGATGTGAATGCATGTGAATCGTCTATTATAATCACTCGACTAGATTGATCACAAAATTGTTGTAAAATGGTTTATGTATTCATAAATATATTACTTAGGCACAGTCACTTAAAATGCCTTAGGAACCTCGATTTGCCAAGATCTTCTCCCACATCAGTAATGGAAATGCACATAGATAACATATTTTGAAACTTAGAACTGAGATATGACATCTTCTCGATCTGTGTACTTCTAAGCCGAGCTGAGCTAAACACCGAATTAACATTTGAGGTGTAACAAAATACAGTGCAGGTATCGTTGAATACACCAAGTAGGCTAGTTCATGCATTATAAACCTTAATAGTAGTTATGCACGCATGTCACATAGAAATTAATATTTGCATAGATGAGGAATGAGAACCATGTGTGATGTTATATAGCACGTGCGCCTTGAAAACTCACTATTTTATTTCGTCATTATCTTACAGCCTTTGAATATTGGTATAATATAAATATTCATATAAGATGATGAAGCGGATCCTAATCACATGATTGGCGCGTACCGCGTGACCAAGCATTAATTTTGTATAACACGTAATTTTACTTATGACCGGTCATTAGTAAATATTTATGACCGGTCATTAGTAAAAAAAAATCATTAAAAAAAAAAAAATCGTCTTATAAAACAAAACAAAAAATCATCTTATAAAACAAAACAAAAAATCATCTTATAAAACAAAACACAAAATCATCTTATAAAACAAAATTAATAATACATATCATTTTGTTCGGGCATTAGTAAAATTACCCACACTCGGTAGGCTACCTTCGAGACAGTCCAAACACCCTCGGCTAGCGATCGCCTTCGGCGTAGACTGTTCAAAAGGTAGGCCTACATTGTCTGGGTAGTTCTAACTAATGCCTCTGTGTGTTTTATCTGTATATAATAACCAATTTAGTAGTTTACATGATAGATATTGGACCATAAATTATGATTACATTTGTTTTACAATATACAGAAAACAAGTTGATATTGAGAAGAAAAGGAAGAGATTACTAGTGACCAGTGGCGTACGCAGGATTTTTTTTCTTCAAGGGAGGAGTTGTTAAATTTGAAATTTCGCAACGACTCAGCCAGCCGCTAAGTAAGCGGGGGAAGGGGTGGGGGGATAGGGAGCACATTCCCCCTCCTGTTTGGCACCTTTTTTTTTAAAAATAAAAACCATTTGAGGGGGGTTAACCCCCCCCCCCCCCCGTTTGATGCGTGTGATGCAATGAAGCTGTGTAAATTCTAGTAGTAGTGTGTTGTTGTTTTTTGAGATTAGATGCATGAGTAGTCCAGATTCTGTCCGTTTGTGTATATTTGTTATCCTTCAATCATCTATGCTTGTCATTCACCACTGATAGCACTCATCCCACAATCATTTTTCCCCAGCTGATTAATTGGGCGCACGACACGAAAACAATCTAGGCCGTGGACAATATAACGAATGAGTTGTTTCCAAAACCACGATATATAGTCACTTTCCATGTTGGATCAAGGGTGTTACTGAAAAATTAGTATACCAATTGCATTAGAATTGTAGCGACGTACGTTGTCGTCAATTACGACACGTATTTGGCTAGGATAAGGAAAATGGCGGAAAGGGGATTCCCCTTGACATCACTTCTTTATAGTCTACTCTGCAAGACCTATTTAATTTACCTCCACCTCTCCAGCGTGCAACAAAATTATAAACCGAGGCCCAGGCTACTAACAAACTCGGAGATAAAAGTCAAGTAGACGGATCAATAAATCTTCATGTAGCTTTCTCCACTATTGTAAGTCTAGTTGAATTATTTGACCTCCTAAAAATAATGATGCAGATTAATTTATACGTTGGTGGTAGACTATAAAATTGTTGCAGGTGGAGAAGTGGAGGTAAATTAAAAAGGTCTTGCAAAGAAGACTATTTCGAAGTGACGTCAGGGGGGAGGTGCTTGGGATATATGCTTATCGCAATTTGTAAACAAAATATTGGAGACCATATATACGTACGCCAACGTCAACTGCTCTTTCGTCTTCCAATTCATTTCAGTTGTGTGCTTTCAGCAAACCGTATCAAAAGTCAGAACAGACCGATGTGTACCAAGCTGTCTAATCAATCATATTATTGACATAAACGTTTACCGGTTGCTCTTAATAATCGAGTCGTATTCGATATTTCATGGCGAAAATGTTTTCACCTGCAGATCCAGGGCAGCTATAATATGGTTCTTGAGCGCGCGTACTTGACATCACCGCCAGATGCGGGGAATAGGCTGGCATATACATTACATACAGCTTGTGTCAGAGGTTAAAAAGCATATATCCAGGGAGGTAGTAGGCTTATACCTCCCTGTTTTGTCGGAGGCAAACATGTCAAAGGTTTTTTTTTTTTTAATGGGATCTCGAGGTCTTTAGAAACAAAACATATGATTGTTATTATTAGGAATGGAATAAACCGATCGTTTTTTCTTTGTTCTTTCCTTAATTTCTTCTTCTTTGGCTGGGGAAGGGACTTGAACGGCCCTATAGTACTAAAACTTCTCCTTAAAATCAGGCCTGCTTCATACCTGAAAAATACACGATTAAGCATGATATTAATATTTGTATTAATAATGAGTGCATACATAGACATTTGTACGTCTCACGTTATTTTTTGTTTTACCTCTGACGATTCTTACCTAGCTCTGAAATTTTTATCTCTGACATTTACCTGGCAACTATAGGCCTACCTACATAATTATACATACACTCAGCAAATTTTCAGTGGACAATCTTTATTGCTCGAATTGTTCATAATATTAATGAAATAAAACTAAATAGATATCAAATTGAATACAAAGAAATATTCTCTACGTACCAACATCTATTAACATCAAGTATATCATCAATACTTGCATGGCTATATGCATCTCATATCATATTGGGACAGTCGAGTGGCTAGGCTTTCGTTTGGTGCCTGCTGGATAAGTACAGATTATCAAGATTCCAAACATAGAGATTGGAAGATAGGGAGATAGATGCTATAGAGTCTAGCTGGAGTTTGCTTAGAATACTGAAACACCAATCCTTGGACCTTGGTCAGAAGTTATAAACCCTCTAAAGTACAGCTGTGATGACAATTACGCTGACATAAAGAAGATGATTACGATAATGATGATGGTAATGGTGATAGTGGTGATGGTGATGATCGATGATAAATTTGACGAGAAAGACAACCATGATTGATGTCAACCATATAAAATCATGAAAAATACGTAAGTTATCTTTTGTACCTAAAGGACTATAAATGGGACATTATGGAAAAGTAGATTTTGTTTCTTTTCACGCTCTCTCTCTCTCTATATATTATCTCTCTCTCTCTCTCCCTCCCTCTCTCTCCTCTCGTTCACTCGAACCTTCACTCACTCACTCTCTCTCTCTCTCTCTCTCTCTTTCTCTCTCTCAACTGTCTCTTTACTCTACCACTCACCCACTCTCTCCCTTTTTCTCTCTATCTTCTTCTTTCTGTCACTCACGCCCTCTCTCTGTCTCTCTCTCTATTTTGTCTCTTTTTCACTATCGCACACACACACTCTCTCTCAATTGTCTGTCTCTTTTTCACTCTATCACTCTCTCTCTGACTCTCTCTCTCTCTCTCTCTTGTCTCTTTTTTTGTCTCTCTCTCTCTCTCTCTCTTTCTCTCTCTCTCTCTCTCTCTCATTGCCTCCAGGGGCGGATCAATGCCAATGAGTGACCTGTATTTTGAAAATATAACTGTTGAACTGTGGTTGGTGTAAACAGTGAACAACTTCACCGATGGAAGGGACCGGCGAGGCCGGGATAGGGGTGGGGATGGAGGACGGTGTGGGGGGGGGGACGCTCATGTCGTTTGGCCGAATACGAACTTTCTCAAATATTCCGAGTGACGGTAAAGCAAACGAGCAAATTAAAGTGAAAACAAAAACACAACCCACGATTATCCTTCCACCTATAGCTGCTGCATACCAACAACCTATAGCTCCCCCGCCCCAGTCGCCGCCCCCCCCCCCACTCCCCTCCATAGACACATAAAGCACCCTCATGTACACGTAAAGACCTACAGAAACACACATTGTACAAAATAGGCATAATGAGGCTCAATCACTTTAAAATAATTATGTTTTTATAATAAACCATGAAATCGACCCTGCAATAAACATTTTTTTTTATACATGTAAACATGTTATTAGTGTGAACATCTAAGCTTCAAAATACTGCTTGTCAAACACAAATCAAGTGCATATATTTACATCTTTATACTTCAACTTAGATAATTCGTCGCTGTTTTCACGAAGTGACGGTAGTGAAAAAAATTTGCATTCACTTTGCGTTACGATTTTCCTCACTACCGTCACTTCGTGAAAACAAGGACGAATTATATGAAAACGAGTTGAAATATAACAGCACCCCTAAAATATGGCAAAGGCTTTCGAAAATCAAACCAAGGTGCTTACAGCCAGTGGCGGATCCAGGATTTTCCAAGAGGTGGGAGGGGGGGGGCGAAATTTGAAATTCGCGCCGACCGATGGATCCGCCACTGCTTACAGCCCACAAGGCTGACAGCAGGGTCGGTCTAGCGAACTTTTTAAAAGGTCGTCAGAAGAGTCACGAGACCGAAATGCTGGTGTTATGGGCTGTCGGTCTTGAGGGCCTTCTGATGGAGTTCAGACAACTTTTGTGAAGGTTCGCAGACGGAAATTGTTGGTATCGTGGGCTTTTGATCGCTCTACTCATTTGTATTTTCATAACCTTGCCTATCACCGTTTAAAATGTGCGAAAATTCTAATGACGTATTACGTAATCTGAATATGATTTAAATAGGGTATTGAAATTGCCGTTGAGTTGATTTTTCGAAGAGTAAGCATACTTCGAATATTCATCGGGTCATCGTGTCGGGTCGGCGGCCGTGCGTGTTACTCGACCTTTTGTAAAACATGCCCTTTCGAAAGGTCGCGTCTCTTACATGCATCTTCACATGATCTTTCTCTTTCTTTTCACGATTTCACGAAATGTCGCGTTACGAGGCCATCCGACCAGACGCGATGACCCGATGATTTGAAGGGAGCCTGCTCACATGCATACTATCTCACTTATAATCATTTACAAATGCTATCAATAATACTGCTTATATCATAATACTTTCGTTATCATGATTATAGATCTTGCTTGTCATCAAAAGGCACAACCTATAGAGAAATATATACATGTACATAATATATTGTCAAAATGGCAGTGAAAATGGCAGTGTATAGTAGATATTTAACAAAACGAACTGAAGAATATATTTATACATTTTTTTCAACGGTGAAAATGGCAGTGTTTAATAAATGTTTATAAAGGTGTTTCAAACTTGTATTGCTCACAGCCATACTTTGAATCATCGGGACATCGCGTCGGGTCGGTGATCGCGTTACCGGACCTTTTGTGAAAAATGCCCAATTAAGAAAACTTTAAGAAAAACATGATCTTCCCCCTTTTCACGATTTCACGAAAGGTCGCGTCACGCGACCACCCGACAAGACGCGATGGCCCGATGATTAAAAGTAAGCCTGCTCACATGCATACTATGTCACTTATAATCATTTACAAATGGGGCATATAAATAAGATCTTATATAAGTATAATATATGTAATATATGTACGTGAGCCATCTAAAATACTGCTTATATCAAAATACTTTCATTTCCATGATAATAGATCTCGCATATGTTATCAAAAGGCACAAGCAGTAAACAACTTCCCGAGTAAATATAATTATAAGTATAGCCTTCCAAAGATCAGGGAAACTAAATAAGCCTAGATTATATAGACCTCTTTCAGAAACATAATATGAATTAGCTATCCCTCAAAGTCTGTAAAAAACATTCATATTTTCAAATGTATAATCGTATCGTTTCAAATAAATATTGTTTCAATATCATACTAGTACTAAATTCTGGAACTTAAATGATATTATTATATTCTTTCCTTCACTCCCCACATTCACTTTAATGCTAAACAAAATATATATTGTGTACATGCATATTTTCCTTCACCCCTCTCTCTTAAAAACAAAGTTTTTTTCTTGTTCTCGAAGGAGAACAATCTCATTAAAAGTAAACGTCAGAACGTTTACTCTTTAATTTAATCAATTCAATCGATTAATTTCATAAAATACTATGATACTATACGTGTAAAAATTAACATTGCGCCAAGGAAATCGCATTAAAAAGCCAATGGCTTGCAAAAGTACAACGATTCCCCTTACAATCATGAAACTGCACATACAAAATACAAAACACAAAGCTCCAAACGGTACAAAAATCATAAGCACAGTATAAATAATAAATAAGTAATTAAAGAAACAAAGAACAAAAAATACATAATAATATATACATGTACATGTATTGTCAAACAAGGACAAATTAGAGGAATTGTGAAGCTATTTCAAAATCCGATTGTCAAAAAAATTGTCTAAAATTGCAAATAGTAGTGCATTGATGTATGCGAACATAAAAAGTGCCAGTTTTTATCCAAAAAAAAATTGAAGGTATTCAATTTTTTTTAAATGACGAGGCAAGATAGTGGGAATTAGTGCATATTCGAACAGCATTCTTTTGTACTATACATATTATAAGCGTTATAAATCATTTGAACTGGTCCCTGACCAAACAAGACTACATTAATTGGGATAGTAATAATACTAATAATAATAATATGTCTTGTTTATCCAGGGTATAGCCTCATCAGTATTTATACGGTTCTCCCTGAGGGCCCTGCGATACCCCGGTCGTCGGATATGACTAGATACAAAATTTGCAAGGTATCACTAAACTGAGCTTACACATTATGCCGATATATATACTGAACTTATTTTTTTTTTCTTCATGATAATTGTCAACATGTCCTGTTCAATTTAGCCTTTCGTCGATTATAAGCCCAAAGAAGTTTAAGCTATGAACGGAATGAACCTTATATAATACACATGCAAAATATATTTAATGAATAAGAAATCTCCGTGCAAGTACAAAGTACTTAAGGAATCTCGCTCAAAGGGCAAGCTCAAGTCTTTTTCTTCTCCTTCTTCTTCTCCTCCTTCTTCTTCTTCTTCTTGGTTATGTATGTCCTTCTCCGCATTTACATTTCTTTTTAGATATATTACATTATGTATAGTATAATGGACTATGCATCTCCATATCAATTGTGATTCCATTGACAACCATTAGGTATCAAAATCAAAACTGCTTGAAATGCCTAATTTGAATGTACATCACTTACTATTACATACAAATTATAAACACAGAAAGTGTTGTCAATGGTGGTGGTGTGTGTGTGTGTGTGTGTGTGTGTGTGTGTATTGTAATTTCCAGTCACACCACTTCCTGCAGACAAAGTTTTTAGATAGAGCCTTTTTTCAGTGGCTCTGTGTATTTCGGGCTAACCCATACGGCTATGGTCAGACTGACAACAGTTTTGTCCAGTAGTCTAAGTTTACTTTGAAGGGTTAATATTATTTTGTGAAATGGGTAACGATTTTGGGACAGGCTTCAAAACACTGTTCTTCGGTTTGCTTCTTTTTTTGTTTAGTTAATCGCACTGTTTTGGTTTGTTTCATAGGTTAATATTTATTAAGGTGGCCTTTTTCAGATGAATTTGTTTGTTGTTGCTGCCATGTCAATGATCGAGGACAGCGATCTGCATTAGGTTAACACAATTTCAGAAGTGGTATTTGTGGGTAATAGTTTTGGTGTTGGACGTAAATCAGCCATGTTATCACGTTTATATGAGCGTCGATAATACATTATTCGTTTACGTGTGAAATAAAACATAGGATAAAGAAAAAGAGATAATACACACAATATCAAGATGACGCCACATACCAACAATTTCAAATAAGTATGGGTTGTCTCATTTTTCAAGACACATGATTGTGCACTTGATGCCGGACGCGTAGAATTATTACTTGCTTGAACAGTTTGATAAGATGTTGGGTGGGGCGTCGACAGAACACCAGGACAGGGATCGATGCCATTAGTAGCTGTAGTTTTCAGGATGGGATCCCAGGTACTATCCTTACAATCACATCTGTCTTCCGTCTGTTGCAAAGAAGAAGAACAGCAATATACCAAACCTGCTGCAGGTCTAGCTAATATTACCTGATCTAGAGTTCCGGGTGAAGTCAAAGGGGGCAGCCTCATGCCATCTTGGTAGCACATGATCTGACCGGGTACATTATTACCCTCTGGAGCTGAACAATGTAGTCTGATCCATTCCCCTTCAATATACACTTCACCTGAATCACAAAATGCCTTGCCAGGAGGATAGTCAACTCTCAACCCAACCCTTTTACCATATATATACTGATCATTAACATTATAGGCTGTAAGAATGTAGGTCCCTGCATCATTTCTCAGGACAGGGTTGATAGTAAGATGTAGGGAACATTCGTTATTCTCACTTTCGTGTTTGAAAGTGAGATTTTGATTTGGAGGCAAAGAGTTAGAGTTTGGATCGGCCGAGTTATATGCTGGGGCTCTGTTTGCGTACTGAAATGTAACTCTCGAAACGTTACATGGGTACGGAAAATCCAGCTCTGCTAATTCTCCCTCCATTGAATTTAGGATTGTTGCATTGCATGCCGTCTTACATAATATGAACAAGATTATGCAGGTATGAATCATGTTTGCCATTGTAACTTTGGCTGGAATTTCTTTAAAATTTCAAAGTTTGAATAGAATATGATGGAGTCTCGGGATAAGCGGCTCAAAACTTTGATCTGATTAGCCTTTCGTAACAGACGACCCTACAAGAGCCCAAACGATTTCCTTCTTTTTTTAAAAAATATAACACTTGAAGTGATGTATTGCAGACTATGAAATAATCAAAGTAGGCTTTAATGTATCAGACATTTCTGCGTTCATAAGTCAATACTCTTCATAAGTTCATCAATATAGTAGAGTTTGGGTTTTGTTGAAAACGCACTTGTTTCAGAAGCTTTTGAATAGTTGGAACAGGGTTGTTTGTCCAGTCGGGCAAATAGGTACCTCAACGCGTGACTAGCTGTTTGAAGGATATATTTTAACAAATACCCAATGTTCTTTCTGCTTGGTTTCTTGCTTGGTTGGATTCATTGAATTTGTGTTATCTGAAAGGTAAAGAAATCAAAATATAAAAATGATAATACATGCAGTAAAAAAAGAAAAAAAATCAATGCTATCATTGATGATGATGATGACGATGATGATAATTATGATGCTAATAATAACATATTTTTATGATAATAATGATAATAATAACAGTGATTGTGATGATGATGGTGATGATAGTAATACCGTGTGAGTCAAACAAAAAGTTTACACTTATTTATTTCATTTATTTTAAAAGTCAGCTTTATATGAACGAAAGGTTATCATACACGTTTTGAAAGAGTGTTATATCCCGAATCGTTTAGTATCATTTTTGTGTGGAATGTGTCCACGCTTAGATGAACACGAGGCATTGTTTGCGAGGGTTCAAACATCGACTTAATTACGCCAAAGTATCAAAGTGAGGGAATAAATTGAGTGTATCAAATGAGATGCATTGCGTTTGCCTTTTGCAGAAACAAAGCCACACACACACACATATTTGATATGTGTGGCATGATTAATTTTGTTAGGGAAGTTATTTGGATCTGCAAAGACCAACTTAATACCCAAATTCCAATTGTTTTATTCAAACATCAGTACATCACATGTATTACTTTGGCGCAAGTCGATGTTTGCACTCTCCTATTCATGCAAGCGTGAACACATACCACACACAAATGATTTGGGATAAAACAATCTTTCATATAAGATGTATACTAATTTACTGTTAATAGATGATTTTAAAAATATTCATCAATTTTCTAGGTGTAAACTTTTTTTGACTCACACTGTATAATAACAATAAAAGGCCCATAGTGAAAATAGTCATGTACATTTTTAGTAATAACTTTGAAATTAAAATCAGAGTCCCAGCTATTAATTATAATTATTTAAATCTTATCATATTGATATACACTGTACTCGAGTTGAAAAAGAAAATATACATAGTGTGCGAGTGTGTGTGTGTATTTGCGTGTGTGCGTGTGTGTGTGTGTGTGTGTGTGTGTGTGTCTATGCGGAAGAGGGGGTCGATCTACAGGTGTACGCCCCATGATCTTTTCGCTCGATGGATTTGATTATTGTTTCCTTCTTCAAATTTGAACGTTACTCATGCAGGCATATTATTTCTTTTTACAAATCAATATGTGCACCTAATTAAATATTTTGCCAATATGCATCTTTTGCACTTGATGGGTTCTTTAAGTTGTTACGTCTGCTGCATTGCTTCGTCGTGCAAGTTTGTCTTTCGTTTCTGTTTTATTCCTTGTCATTGCTGTTTTACTCATTTCCCATCCAACATTGATCCCGCGTATACACTACTACACTTTTTCGGCATTATCGTTAAAACAAATGTGAAAGTATATGTAAACTTGTTCTACTTTCATATTCTTCTTCCTTCTCTATATCTGAATATGGCCTAATTTATTTTCAAATTCTCAAATCATGCACTATTAAAACCTTGACTGCTTTTTTTGTGATTTATAGATTTGATTAAACATGCCTGTATTCATATTTACTTAGTTACCTTCTTGAATGATATGTGTATAATAGATAAGTAAATATATATATGTAATGGTCTTTAATTTAAGGTTATCTTTGAAGGGTTACCTAGTAACCATATTGTGATTGATTCGTAATGTTGTATTCTCATTTTCTACATCGGTAAATGAAATGAACAAGTACTTTTGAACATTCTTTTGTTGTCAAGCCATGCATGCATTGACTTTCTTATATATCATGTAATTATCACCCAATAATGTACAAGTATAACACAACATGGGAGGAGCACAGCAACAAGATGAGAGGAACTTTTTTTCTTCTGCAGTGACTGATTTAGTTTCAAATCAAATCAAAACAAATCAAATCATTTATTTCTGAAATTCCAACATCAATTAAAAACAATGTGTAAAAAAAAAGGCAATGGGCAATGAAAACATTCTAAAACTATGACATTTCAATCAAACGATCAAGAAGAAAACAAAATAAGTATAGCAATCAAAGAGAAACAAGGTACAGACTACATTAAAAACATAAGTGGATAATTGGAAAATGGTGAACACAATGAAAGCCAGGTTTTTGCCTAGTTAGGGTGTGTTCACCTGATTTGTGTATTTATTTGTTTTTACATTATTATTATAAAAATTAGACATTTGTCAAACAATACATAAAACATAGAACATGAGAACATAAACATGAACAAAATTATTTAAAAAACATATAAGAGCATCAAACAGTATGGTATAGTTCTACAGGATAATTTAAGAAAAGATATTTAACCAATTAAAAGTAATTAATATGAACAAATTAAATGTTTCTTATATTGCCTCCTGAATGTATTATTAAATGAAATATTGAATTGGTTACATTTAACATCATTATAAAGAAGTGGACCCGAATGTCATAGAGAGTATCTTGAATAATCATTATTATATGTCCACCGATGGAATTTGTTTGCATTTCTTGTATGATAAATATGAATCTGAGAATTTAAAGGGAACATTATTCATTAAATTTAAAGACAGAGTGTGGGTATTAAATCTTTGCGTAAGGAAACATATTTGTAGTTTGTTTATATCTAATAACTTAAGTGTACATAATTTCTTAAATAGTGGGAATGAGGGTGTCATTTAACTTGAATTAGTACATATACGTATTGCTTTCTTCTGTAATATAATTAGTTTGTTTAAGTGTGTACAATAAGTATTTCCCCAAACAAATAAGTAAGAAATAGTGGATAAAATAAACGTATCGTTACTATTAAATAAGACACATACAGGTAAAATATTTTTCAATCGATACAAAATTCCGACATAACGTGCAACCTTTAAGCATACAGAAGTAATATGATCCTTCCAATTCAAGGATTCATTCAAATTAACACCCCAAAAAAGTACAATTTCACTTCTTTGCAAGAGTGTGTTATCTATGTATGTTTTTATGTTTCTAGGTATTTGATATCCTCTTTTATGAAAATATATATTTTGCGTTTTATTGACATTTAATGATAAGTTATTGCACTTAAACCAAGATGATATTTTAGAGATTTTCATTTAAAAATTGAAGTAAAATATCAATATCATTATGAACGGATAAAATGGTTGTGTCATCGGCATATAACATCGAATCACATCCACGGCAAGAGTTGGTAATATCATTTAATAAATAATATGTACAATACAAATAATAAAGGTCCTACAATAGATCCCTGAGGTACTCCTGTTTTTACGGTTTTAAAATATGATGTGCAATCCTTAAAAAAGTACACTGTTGTCTATTTAATAAGTAAGATTCAAACCATTTAAAAGTTGTGCCTCTTACACCATAATATTGGAATTTCTTTAATAAATCAGGATAAAGAAAGCGAATCAAATGCCTTAGAAAGGTCCATAAAAACACCAATTACATGCTGATTTAGTTTCAGTAAATCACTAACACCAAACATTAATTACATTATGGTAGGCCTACACTACTGTTTAATATACATGTATATATTTTTGTAATTGGTTGCCTATGAATACACGAGTATCATTTGCGACATGCATTTCCATAGATATTCCCGTATAAAGACAACACTGAAAACATGAATACTATAGGGAATACTGGGATAGATCCAAAGTAAAATTTGTTTTGAAGCATATGCATTTTCTCTCTCTTAATTCTCTCTTAGACAAACAGGTAAAACATTGAATATTTACATTGATTAGGAAATTTGTTTCACCCGCTGATATAATTGTACTCCCTAATTCACCCATAGTTAAAAGCAATGCATTGTAGGTATCTAGTTGAGATTCATACCTAGTCATGTCAGCTCACATAACTACTATTAATTGGTGTAAAACTAACTATAAACAAACACTCGTGTAAAACAACCATTAACAAAATATAATACATGCATTACTGCTCTGTTTACAGTACAAATTAAAAGACAAACAGTGTGACAATATCATTTTTAAAGATCGCTCATGAACTATTATGAGTGTCGCCTGAACGTACATGTACCTAATCATCATCATACTCTGCTATTAAAGTTCCTTTACCGAATGGTCCTTACTACTGAGTTTTGATCAAACATGAGATGTTTTACAAATAAGAGACATTCAGATAAATTTAACCCAAATTTAAATTTTACATGCACAATTCACAAACATTCAGTGACCATCCTAACGGTTTAAACATTTGTCAGATGAAAAGAGTGAACACAAACATGTAAGCTATCCCTGAAAAAGTTTGTGGGCGACCCCAAAAATCTCATCTCGACACAGTCTATAAAGTTTTGCTCTTCACTTTCTTAAGAATAGAGGGAGCAAGTAGCTACAAGTAGTGCAGTGGAGCTTTAAGGTGTAACAAAATGCAGTGCAGGTATCTTCGATACATCAAGTATAGTTCTTGCATTATAAACCTTAATACACGCACGTCACATAGAAATTAAACTTCGCATAAATCAGGAATGACAACCGTGTGTGATTTTAGAGATTGCGCCTTGAAAACTCAATTAAGTCATAAGCTTAAAGCAGCCTTTGAATATTCAATATAAATGATTAATCAAATAGTTTACATGATAGTTATTGGACCATAAATTATGATTACATTTCTTTTACAATATACAGGAAAGAAAAATCACTAATATTGAGAAGAAGAAAAGGAACAAATTAAAGTGACAAATATGACAATAAGCGTGCACGATAAAACTAGGCATTTTATAGTAGAATAGAAAATTTAGTGGAGCGGCCTTCGCACCGATAACTATAGACCAGCTGATGGTCGTTTTAATCATTCGCCCTTTCCCAAATGCGCGCGCGTGTATGAAATGCGTACTCCCCACCAATTCACCTTCCCCGAAAAAAAGGCTCTGTTTCCGTACGTGTATATTATGGTGTACTAGTATTATGTGAGCGCGCACGGATCATGTAGAGAACAGTCCAGGCAGTGGACTACGATAACTAATGCATAATTCATGAACCTTCGGTTACCATCCTGCGGTTTAAATATTCACCCCCGGCGCCACCGCCAGTTGGCGGAGACATAAAAAGCCCGGGTAAAAAGCTTGTGTGGAGAGTATGGTACTGACATATTAATGCGTGTGACGCAATAAAGCTATGCAAATATTAGTAGTGTATTGTTGTTTTTGCAGCTAAGACGAATGAGTAGTCCAGATTCTGTCCGTTTTTGTATATTTGTTATCCTTCACTTATCTATGCTTGTCATCCTCATTTGCACGCGCCCCACATAGAGCGCGGCGGTGCATGTCTCTATATAATTATCACGCGATCCCCCCAAAACAATCATTTTGTTTCCAGCTGATTGGGAGCGCGACACAAAAACAGTCTAGGCTGTGGACAATACCGGGACAATACCGGGACAATATAACGAATGAGTTGTAATTTCCAAAACCACGATATATAGTCACGTTCCGTGTTGGATCAAGGGTGTTACTGAAAAATTAGTAAACCAATTGCATTAGAATTGAAGCGACGTTGTCGCCAATTACAAAAGTTATGGCTAGGAGAAAGAAAAATGGCGGAAAGGGGCCGGGGATTCCCCTTGACATCACTTCTACATAGTCTTTTGTGCAAGACCTATTAAATTTACCTCCACCTCTCCAGCGTGCAACAAATTTATAACCTAGGCCTAGGCTACAACCGAATCGGGAGACAAAATTCAAGTAGACTATTCAATAAATCTTCATGTAGCTTTCTCCAAGTTGAATTATTTTGCCTTCTAAATATAATGATGCAGTTTAATTGATACTTTAGTAGTAGGCTATATATTTGTTGCAGGTGGAGAAGTGGAGATATTAAATAGGTCTTGCAAATAAGACTATTTCGAAGTGACGTCAATGGGGGGGGGGGGGGGTGCTTGGGATGCTGCACGATCACATTGTGTAAACAAACTATTCCATACGTACGCCATCGTCAATTGCTCCTTCGCTTCGTCTTCCAAATGCAGCAGCTAGTTGTGTGCTTTCAGCAAACTGTATCAAAAGGAAGAAGAGACCGGTGCATACCAAAAGTCGAAGAAATCATATTACTGACATAAATGTTTACTGGTTGTTCTTATAATCGAGTCTTATTTAAATTTTCGTGGCGAAAATGTTTTACATCTGCAGATCCTGTACATGCCATTGGAGTTATGTGAAATCACCGCCAGATGTTGGGGCGCATATGCAGCAAGCTATAGTGTCGTCGAAACATGCTTTTTAGTCAGTTTGCAATGAATAGGCTGGCATACATTACATACAGATATAAGTGTCAGAAAAGCCAAAATACATGTATCAGAAGCCAAAATACATGTGTCAGAGGCAAACTTTAGTGTCATAGGTAAAAAGTAAATTTTGGGATAGTCGAGGTGTTTAGAAACAAAACATGTGTAGGCTTATACTAGTTTATGATCAATAGGAATGGAATAAACAGATCGTTTTTGTACGACGCGTGCATATGGCTTTGTTCTTTTTCTTAATTTCTTCTTCTTCGGCCGGGGAAGGGAATTACAGCCCTATAACTTTTAAACCTTAAAAGATTAAGCCTGTTTCATACCTGGAAAAAAAACCCCGAATAAGCATGATTATAAGATTACCGCGTTGCACTATGTTAACACTTATATGCATATGCTTCTTTAGTCTCAAATCCTTTTACAAGTTGAATCGTGCTTCTTTGTTTAAAATGATGCAATGTTATAGGCTCTCACAGAACCTTGTTTCAATCGACATAATCACCTTTAATTATTTTGGACAGCCTATATATCTACTCACTTCTTGTCTTATGATATCTAAGTTCTCTCTGCTCACTTACCCACTGCACTATTTCACACACGTACGGAGCATAAGGTGTTTAAATATCTCGAATATAGCGATAGAAAACTCAAAGGTTACTGTATTAACCCAACTGATGCAAGCAAGAACATTTATGATGATCCTAAATATCAAATAAATTGATAGCAGACTTTCATTTTGTTTAAACATCCCAGATAAACTTTCTCCATTTTTATCACTTAATGAAAATAATTGCGAATGAATTAGATTTTAATCACGCATAACGAAAAGAACATGATGCCTGTAATAAGCATTTCTCTTGAGTTCGAGTTGATGTTAACACTTTTTGTTACCAACTGCCTATAATTACCAATGTAAAGAAAAGAACAATTGCTTTAAATTGAGATAACTAACACACAATGGCTTTTGACCCACATTCATTGCTTCAGCCCTATAACTTAAAATTGGTACAAGAAGGTTTTCAGTTGACAATATACTTTTTGAAAATCCTGCTGTTCAGTCATATCCTTGGCAGCACAATCTAGAAAATGATATCATGAGACAGAATGTTAGTTTTCCTTTACAATATGATTCAAGGTCACACAGATTATACTGACTTTTAAATTAGAAGCTACCAAAGTTGGTAAACCTCTTTTTTATATACGCACTGAATGTACACTCAGCAATTTTTTAGGGGGCAATCTTTATTGCTCGAATTGTTCATATAAAATAAAACGAACTATATATATATATATATATCAAATTCAATGAAAATAAATACTCTCTACGTACCAACCTCTATTAAGATCAAGTTTTTAACTTTCACAATTGGATGGGGTTTCGCCAGGGTTCATAAAAGGTTGCAAGAAAGTTCAGTTTTTCTTGTCGCAAAGAAATTTTGGACCTACAAAAAGGCGAACCCTGATTTTCGCCAACATTTTGTCAGAAACGAATCCAAATTTGCAACGTTCGCAAGCATTCGCCGCTCAGTGAGATAGGGCTTAAAGTGGTATCTCACTAAGCGGCGAATGCTTGTATAAGAACGTTGCGAAATTTGGATTCGCCAACTTTACAGACTCGAATGTTGGCAAAAATCAGGGTTCGCCTGATCTGCCATTAGCGACAATTAGCAACATTTGAAGCGAATGTTGGGAAAGTGTTTGCGAAAGTCAGTTGGCGACTATATTTGCCAATCCTTTGTGAATGTTTGGGACCTTTTGCTAACTCCTGGTAAAGTACCAGGCGAATCTATGGACCAAACGCTATACAAAAAGGGTGAGCAACCCCCAACCTTTCCCATCATTCAGAATTACGGTCTCATATGTGGTCACGTGGTCGCTAGCATTGTCGAATTAAAAAGAAGTCCGCGACACCGTTTACAACCGTTTGCAAAGGCCTAAGACTCTTTTGCAAACGCTTGCAACTGTTTGCGACAAGAAAAACTGTTTTCGACAATGTAAACCGTTTGCGAACTTTCTTGCAACATTTTACAAACCGGCCTTGGCGAAACCCAGAATTCGCTACGTTCGTAGCATTCGCCGCTCAGTGAGATACCCCCTGAATTATGTTGAACAATGTTCAAAATGACAACAGAGATGATAAATAATAAGGAGGATTGAGCTTTGGGTGTCAACTGCAGTCTTAGCACGGTCAAGATGCCTCTCATTGTGTTTTTCATGATATCTTCTACTTCTTTAAAAAAAAAAAATTGACTCTGGAAATGCTCATCACCATTTGAATGGCCAGAATCCCCACTTTTGCAATTTTCTTATAGAGAATCATTTATGTATTGTTAGTTGGCTATGCACACTCGTGAGTTAATAACTTTATTCCATTTGTATATTTAAATTATAGTGTCACCTGTTTTTTTCTGTTTTGAGAGTGTATATTAATATGTGCGTGCGTGTGTGTAGGGTGTGTGTTTGTGGAAGTGTTCGTAGAGATAACACTTTGAAGAAAGGCATTTTATGCCAAATTTATTACAAAGTTGGCATAAAATGAATTTCTTCAGGGAAAAATATATGCATATATATATATATATATAACCCTACATGGTACAAAAAAAGAAAAAAATCCATGAAGGACGTACAGGAGTGGGGATTATTAATTTAACCAACATTACCATTATTCACTCATTTTCTTTCACGTTATATATACATGTAGGCCTAGCTAGGTGCAGCTACAATAGAAATATATATATATATATATATATATATATATATATATATATATACCTGTCAAAAACAACAAAAAAACACTAAACTAAATAAACAAATAACTAGAAATCATTTTGTTTAAAAAAGGAAGAAATTAGTACATCATTTTATTTTGTCTTTCCACAATTTCCAATGCACAAGGAGGAAAAAAAAAATCAACTTTTGAAAGAAATAATAGACAATGTACTCTTTTTTCTTCAGAACTTCAAATATTTCTGTAAAAATAATTCCATAATATTCAGACATAATATAAGACATGGTAAAACAATCTTATTAGCTACCTTTCATTTCAATAAACAAACAAACAATATTATCCACACATTTAAAGTTGTGTATTATATTCATATCCAGATTACACAATGTTATCAATATCCAATTAAATGCTATTATTCTAATTTACATTGCAACTCTTCAATATCTGGACTAACAACAAAATTCTTCAGTACTCTTTTTTTTTTTAGCCGGTAACAAATTATAACAGAATTGCACTTGTATTTACACGATTACGAATCACAGTACATAGTACAAGCAAGTTTTTCCATATAAGCCACAGGATATTACAAAGTAGTGTACAGATTACACAAAAAGAAGTAAAAAAGAAAACCGCAGTATTCATACTTTTATGTAGAAAAACTGGAATTGCTCATAAAGCAGATAATAAGCATTATCTCAGACCATTTCATATAAAAAGTAATATAGTGTGTCTTTCTGCACACATACATAATAATATCAATAGTCGGTTCTTGTATTTTTCTGAGGAAACAAGTTACAAAAGAATTGCACTTGAGTTTTACATGATTACAAATCTTGGAGTAGTACCTGTACAAGAAAGTATTTCCATATAAGCCAAAGGGTATTACAAAATAGTACAAAGGTCACAAAGAAAAAGAAAAAGAAAACCAAGTGTATATTCGTACAACTATCTTTTAGGTGAAACAACTGGAATTTCTCATTTAGCAGATGATAAGCATGATCTCAGACCATTTTATATTAAAAGTAATATTGTGTGTCCGTCTGCACACATATATCAATCATGGATTCCTATATGGCGCTCATGTCTGTCAGACTTAATTGACACTCCTGACGCTCCACGATTATTATCCCTGCTTTGGCATGGCTGTCATTACGAAGCTCTAGCATTTTAAGGAATAAATTCCTGCCAGGTACCCATTTACCTCATCTGGATCGAGTCTGGCACATGTTGATTAATGTCTTGCCAAAAGATGTTAGTGATGTGGTTCACAGTCCAGAGACTTATCCACTGGACAACACCGAAACGTACAACAACATATCATACATGTACAAATCAATTGTAAGGTATAGGAATGATAAAGGGAAAAAAAGAAGAAAATATTTTGAAAAGCATACACGAAAAACAAAGGGAAAATTATAAAAATATTATATTAGTAATCCCAATATGTCCTTAAGATATGAATATATTAAAATACATACACCGATATAGGTAACAGAAATAAGCAATATTTAATTCAGCATTAAACTTATCTTACAGTGACTAACGTTTTAGACACATGATTCTACTTCAGTACCTGCATGGCCATTGTTTAAAGGGTTTGTGAAACTTTGTCTCAGATTCTGAAACAAAATCCTGGATTTAGCTAATGCTGTAGTGATAATTGTCTGATTATCAAGATATTTATGAAATGATAACGGTCTTTATATCACACAGTCTATTGGGGAAAATGGGAATGGTAAAACAGCTCACTCAAAGATTTTTTACTTTTTTGAGGCACTTCGTGATCACTTTCAAGCACTTCAACTAGGGCTTCAATATTTCACCATATCACAGACATTGATAACACGTCGGGCCGTGAATCTCGGATTTAACATTGTTAAACGATGCCTTTAAAGAAATGTCAAACACACAAGCTATCACATTTTTAGAAAATACAAACATTACAAATCAGGGTTTGATACTCAACAAAATGTAAGTTCATGTACATGCATAATGAATTATAGAAAGTGATATTGCAATGGGTGTCTCTTGGTTATTTAGCACAATAGCCAACATCTACAGAAGTTTGGTCCAATCGAGGAGGGAGTGATGGTTTGGTGAAAACTAAAGATTTGGCTGCATTGCCAACCTGGCATAAAGTACCGAAAGTATTCCCCCCAAATGGTGATGGGGTTTCACTCAAACTACAGTTCAAGTGGCCGCTTTTATTTGTTTGTTTGACCTTAACGTTCCTCATTTAGTTTCCAAATGTTATTTTGGGGGAAGAAAAAAAAAGCAGGAGTCTGCTGATCAAGATAGAACCGTTGCCGTAGTAACTGTTATCCTCTACAAAAGCGCCACCTCCTCAAAATAAGCACCCACGAGCTTGGTCTGTAGGTAAAACAAAATAAGATGAGATTGGGATGTAAGTTGGTCTAGCGGAAATGTGCGTGGTAAGGTCAGCTCTCTGTCTTTGCCTACAAACTGACTTTGATCAGAGAGAGGTTGGAAACAGAGTCACATAAAGAATCATATACAATTGATATATGTTTGTAAAACCCCAATAACAACACACACACAATCCGTTCAAATTCTTGTTTCATTTGCAGCTACAAAATAATCATTTTCAATTATTTACATCAAATTTGGTTATAGCCATGATCCAGAATGCTTACTGAATTACTTTTAAATTAAATTAGTAAATCTGTGAGCTGAGTAGTTCAGTATGTATCAACTTTATCACTCTGTAATAATGATATGCAATAATAATCAAACAGACTTGCTGAAAAGTACCCGGTAGTCTTTTTGGCCCAATACATGTTTTTAATAGAATAAATTGATTCAATTTCATTCAATTTCAAACTTACGCCATTGATGTAGTTAGACCGATCAAACTTCTCATTCTGCGAGTGAGCCCCATCGTCTGCTGCCCCCATTGGCAGGAGCATGACATTCTTGCCTGTCGCCTGCTGGAGAGTGAGCGTAACAGGGATGCTACCGCCCTCTCGTGTCATATCAGGTGTAACTCCATGCACTACAAGTATGATAATATAAAATGGGAGAAATGAGTCTCCAATATCAAACTTTAAGGCATCGTTTAACAATGTTAAATCTGAGATGAACGGCCCTACGTGTTATCAGTGTCTGTGATATGCTGTAATATTGAAGCCCTTAACAAAATTGCGCTTCAAAAACGAAGTGCCTCAAAAAGTAAAAATCTTTGAGTGACCAGTTTTATCGTACTCATTTTCCCCTGTAATGTTATGAAAACCGTTAGGAAAACGCAAAATTTGATTTTGATTTCCAATCATAAATATCTTGATAATCAAACTGGCGATCGGCTTATAAAAAGTCATGGGGTTCCTGACTGACCTAAAGATTTATAATTATCATTGCAGCATGGGCTAAATCCAGGATTTTTTTTCAGAATCTGAGACAAAGTTACCCAATCCCTTTAAATCATTTGCCTGGAAAAGCACCGATTAACATGAGATGATCCTTCTATAGATTGAAATGAAATGATGATGTATTTCTTTCTCATGCCAATCTCTTACAAACATACAATACATTGCTTTATAGAAGGGCAAGAAGGTATTTCAACATGTACATGTATATTGACACATGTTAGAAATAATTATTTTAAAAAAAATACAGTTAACAACTGAACTATTAATACCTTAACCAAGTTTTGCAATTTCTTAAGTATGTGAACAATTGATTTTCCCCACTTATATTTCTTTAAAATATGACATATTAAAGCTTACATCCAGAAGTATTCAACAAAGGCACTAATGTCACCAGTCAAACTTTCATTCTGGAGTTCTATCAAATTTATAAGTGGTATGAATAATTTAGTTGTTAGCTGTATTTTTTTGCATATGTTAGTACAATGGTCTGACCAAATACAGTGAAACCTACATATATAAAGACCACTCAAGGCAGACAAGAAAAGTGGTATTTATAGGCAGGTGGGCTTTAAGTCCTTTAGTACAGGTTTAAATGAAAACTGTTTTTCAAGGGATACTGAGTATGTTCACAGATAGGTGGTCTTTCTATACAGGTGGTCACTAAAGCAGGTTTCACACATACGTTTTGGTGACTAAATCACAGTCCACTAATTTGATACATTTCTGGGTTTTTAACATTAATGAATTAACATAGTAAAATGTACATAGGAATAGTGTATTCATTATTATCTATCATAATTATTTATAGTTCTACACAATCTGGGCACTGTTTTTAAGAAACTGTTATCAAATAACAAGTTACAATAGCAGTTATATAAGCTACTGAAATCATGGCATATGATTAGCTGATCGAGAGCTAATTTGCCATAAAATGTTATCATTTGATATTAAAGGAAACCAAAACCTTCATACTAAGTTACTTTTATTGTAAAGTTTGAAAGATTTGAATAAAATCAGTGAAAATTTGAACAAAATCAGGCAAGGAATAAGAAAGTTAGAGCATTTTGAAATGACTAGTCACTAGAGGGCGGTATTCAATTTGATGACATCATCTGTGAACAACTCTCCATGCCTTTTGTACATAAAATTTCACAATTTTTTTGTTTTCTTTGTATTTATTTGTGTTCTTGATCCGACTTCATAACATGTGAAGTAGAATATCATTTTGCATTCTATATCTTGCTTTCAGGGGAGTACATTATCTCAATCACAAGAAAGAAGGAAAAAAATTTGATGTACAAAAGGCATGGAGAGTTGTCCACAGATGATGTCATCAAATTGAATACCGCCCTCTAGTGACTAGTCATTTAAAAAAATCTCTTACTTCCTTATTTCTTGCCCGATTTTGTTCAAATTTTCACTGATATTTTTCAAATATCTTAAACTTTACAATAAAAGTAACTTAGTATGAAGGTTTTGGTTTCCTTTAATTTAATCACAATTTTTATGAAACAGCTATAGGGCCCTTGGCAGTGATTACTGAAACCACCATAAGCCCAATTTTGCAGAGAACCCATTGAAATGCGTGTACCGGTATTTAATTTCACACACATTTTAATGGGATGTCAGTGAACATGTTCTGGTTTCATGAAAGACTGCCAAGTATTCTACTCTAAATGACCTCTAACCTCTCTTTGTAGCCTTGATTCCAGCCTGGTAATGAGGATGGGTTGGATCACTCAGCCAGCTCTCACCACCATGGTACAATGATGCACTGAGGATAGATTGGAGGAGAGAGAATTTGAGAAATTAGATTACGAGAGAAGCAGCAGATTCTGCCTGGCTAGATTGAGTAACTTCTACAGTGTGCAACTGTGCATATATACAGGGAAAGGATGACTACTTAAGTTATTAGAGTCACGATGGATATGTAACAACTGAAAAATGAAAAACTGATAATCGTCATCACTATCATCTCCATTACCATCGTCACTATCGCCATCACCACCACCACCATCGATCATCACAACAATCATCACCATTATCATCATCATCATCACTTTTCTTCTTCTCTTCCTTAATCCCTCCCCACTCTATCATAATCTCAAATGGACTTACTTCATGGTGTTTGGAGATCCAGTCTCTGCATGGACCTTGTTGAGATGAGCAACGACCAGTTTGGTGACTTCTTCCGGTGTCTGGTTGGGGACGATGCGGATAGAGAACTTTCCTGTCACCTTGCGAGGGATGACGGTCTTAGCCCCGCCCTCATCGAAGGCTCCCTGGATCCCTATACAAAGTAATGATTGATATGATGAAACAAATAGCTTGGAGACAATTGCTCCAAGTTCATTTGATTTGATTTGATTTATTTATTTCTGTTTGATTTTCTTTTTCTTTTGCATTTTTACAAATATATGACAAACAAACATTGCAAATTTACACATGACAAAAGAATATATGTAGAATAAAGTAAAGCTGGCTGTAACTAATTGAAAACATCAAACAGGAGGGTTGACAAAGTAAGCAAAGCTTGATAGTATGACTACCCTCAAAGGATACATAATAATACCAATATGGAGGAACAAAATATTGGTAAAAGGGGAAAAGGACAGAAAAAAGAAGAAAAAAGAAAGAGGGAAGCACTTGTTATATAAAGATTTTTAAAAGATGCAAATTTAAATATTGAGTGGCCAACTTGGGATATAATAGAATGAGAAGACTCGCGAGGTTCGGACAATATGAGTGTGAATGTGAGATCAAAGATTTACTGTAGGGTTAGGTTCAGTGTTGCTTCAGGTTAGGTTTAGGGTTGGGGTTAGTTGTAGAATATTGTTTTTCGTAGAAAATAATTAGCTGTTTTTTGTAGGATAATAAAGATAGAATGATTGTCACCAGAGCATAACCATCAACCGTAAAGGCATGCAAGTTCTAAAGTTCTAAAATTAAAAGGAATACAAGAACTGCTGATGGCAAGTTGGGATAAGAAAGCTAGCTGCATCCATGTGTACTCCCTCTTCTGTGTGTTATAAGATCAAAAAGCGTAAAGCGCAGTATGCTAGGGGAAATCCATGCAATACACTGCAGCAGTTAACATGACATATGTGGACAGGCATTGAATGTACTCATTCATTTTGTTTAATATACTGTAAAATGCAAAAATGTGTCTATTTTAAAGTATTTTTACAGCGTCGTGATTGAACGAGGGAATACGGAATTTCTTCTTTGCTCTTACCATGGATGGAGACAGATGGAAAGCGCCATCGGTGTTGTAGAATCTTCTCTTTGGAGTCGTGTAGCAGTTTTTTGGCACCAATGTCATTGCGATACTCCTCCTGTCAAGGGTTAAAAGTTAAAGATTATTTCACTTCTTGTATGAACAAAAACCCATCAACTGAACCTATTGACTAATGAATTATCTTATACCATAGGCTTGTATCAGGAGCCATCCAGTTCCATACGTAACTCATATCCTGCCATAAGGCCGAATGCACGCTACAGTTATGGTGCTTTGTACACGCGAGCTATCGATTGGCTGCTTAATTCACACGAGCGAGCAACAGCTTAGCTGCTTTATGCATGCATGCTCACATTCGTAATAGCAGTTATTATTCATGTTCATTGTACTGTACATGCTGAATGCTTCGCACATCCTATTGATCAAACCATCGCGTGCATCAGATTATCTCAAAATAAACTTGGCACAGGGGGGACTTGTGGCTTGGCACAATGGGGATTAGCCCTGTGGCACTGGGATGTATTCATTATGGCAGGATAAGAATTAATGAGTTAAACCATTGACTACTGAATTCTCTCATTCAAATAGGCTTTTATACACAAGTTATCCGGTTCCCAGGCTTTTATACACGAGTTATCCGGTTCCCAGAGGCATTGGGTTAAAAACTTGATTGTGTAGAACAGAACAGATATCTCTCAACATGACAATGACCTTGGATTATTAACTGCTGCAATGTCAGGCAAATATCTGGGACATTAAAAATAAAATTGTATGTTTAAGTATACATAAAATAAGAATACATTAATAATCTCATCTATCACGGAACTTGTCTATCAAAAATTAAATTGTCTATCAAAAATTAAATTGTCTTTCTGATATTGTACCAGTCTGTAAATTTTGTCATGGTAATCACAAGAAGAAACGCATTTGAAGCCCCTTTCCTGAGTTAAAGGCATATTTAGAGGAAAAGAAGATTATAGCAGATTAGCATCAGCATAAAAAAATGGGAGGTACGAATGATTAATAGAGTTACGATGGCAATGCGATTGATGATTCTCACCAGGCAGAAATCAATCGGACCATAGAGGGCCTCCTCCTCTGGTGTGACTTCTACGACAGAGTCATAGATCCCTGGAACGAGGATCTTGCCTTTGTTGTCCTGGAGACTGCCGAAGAGAGTGACCAGATCTCGCATGGCCTCGTGCCTGCACATAAAAAGAATAAAGAAGAATCATGGTACCAATTAAGTGCTGCAAATAAGATGGATAAGTTAAAGGGAGTGTGACAAGACTATGTGTCTTTCCTGTGGCCCTACCCGGGGCCAATAGGGTATAATACGACTACGGACGACGCGACCGCAGCATTCACGTGCGTGCAACAGTTCGCAAAATTGAAGCATGATGAGAATTTTGGTCTGTATCGCAGTTAATCAAGTCCATTCGTTTACGTGACCACCATAAGAATTTGCAAATGTGGAACATGAGAAGAAATATTAAAGAAATAATATTAAGAAATGTATACTTGATGGAAGTTTCAAGAGGGAATACGAATGGTAATATTGAGAGTACAAAATTCGAAACCAAGCTACTGGTCCCTGTTCCATAAAGACTAGTTATCAATAACAAATGCTAAATTTTTATGACATTATAATGTAACTTGTTATTGAGAAAAATTATGTTTTTTGAAACAAGGCCCTGAACCGCTTCTAAATAAGTGTACTTACACGGAGCCTCCAAACACACCAGAATGAAGATCCCTCTTGGCACACTCCACTTCAATGTAGAAATAACAGATCCCTCTAGAAAATGAATTGACATACAAAGATATAATCAGCATTAAAAAAAAGTATAAATTCTAATATTCTTCCCACATTCAAGGTCTTGATGTATTTTTGACATTTTCCAAATTAAACAACATACTGACATCAATCATACGTGACATTAAATATTGGAGTATATTTAAAAAGCATATTTAAAAACAACTATTGATACCAAAGAGTGAGGCAATTCATATTTCAAATGAAAGTTTAAAAAGAAAAGAAAAAAAGTTGAGCAAGTTTCATAAAACCAAGATCAAATGATGTATGTAAATTCAACAGACTTTTTTTCCAAGTACGTTTTTTGCAATTGTTATGTATACATAATAACATTATTTTAAAAGAATAATGATTTAAAACATTCAAAATATACTTCCTCACACACAATTAACTGTTTACAAATCTTGATATTGGTTGAAAAGAAAACACTAGTTTAATCAGGGTAAAAAAATACTGAGGCAGCAACATGTCCTTCTGAATCGACATACTAGTTTTTAATATATTTACAAATTCATGTACGGTACATTTTAAAATACCTCAAAGAGTGATGTTACTGCTCTATATGCAACTTACCTGAGACCATATGTGATGCATGGCTTCGTTTTGCCAAGCCAGTAGTTATCTGAGATGCACACATAATCCACATCCTATTGAGAAAAAAAAACATGGTTATGAATTACAAAGAATTAAGCCAAAGTTCAAAATAGTGCTAGCTGTAGCCGAACCGCCGAACCGAACGGAAGTTCGCCGAACATGGCACTTCCGAACCGAACCGAACCGAACCGAACCGAACACAAAGGCCTGGTTCGGATGTTCGGCAAAAAAATGTAAACGTTTTTGCAAGCTAATAAACTTTTCATTTTGTACCTAATTTTCATGTTATGATTGCTCATATTATATTTACTTTTTTCCCATTTTCCGCCCTTGTGATTTATGCCTATCCAGTGGTGGGCGCAACTTCACTGGCGCCATTTAAATCCCAAATCCTGACCACGCTACGTCGCGATCGCAAGCCATAAACAAGAATACATGTGCGTGATCAAAACAAGTTCAGCTCAATTTGCTCAAACCCATTGAACAAAATATTAATATTTTAATTGTAACCATATCGGACAAATTTTACAATATAAAAAATGAAATAAATATATATTATAGCATGGTATCTATTTATTCAGGAAAAATAGGAATTTTATATTTTTCCTAATGAAAATAAAAAATTATAAAAAACAGTTCTTGGCAAGCCTGAAAGTCTATATTCAAGATGGCACCTTTTATGACTCTAACATTAGACAACAACCGTCTCGGAAAATCTTTTAAAAACATCATTTATTGACAAATTGAAAACATGATTCTTTTAAAATTGAAAATAAAACACGATTCAAGACGGAAATACGAATGTAAGTAGTATTTTTCTTCACAAATAATTACGTTTAGAGCAGTTTTTTAATGTGAAATTTGTGCTGGTCGGAAGCAGTGTGCAGAAGTCCTCCGTGCCGGTCAGGCCCGGCAGGGCGGGCGGCCTGCCCAGTCCCGACCGCCGTGGCTATAACGCTGCTTGCTTTTAAATTACCGAACCCCAAACCGAACCAAGTTCGGGTGAAAAATTGCCGAACTTTGCCAAACCGAACCGAACACGAACATAGCGTCTGACTTACAGCACCAGTTCAAAATGTCTGCAAAAAGTGCTGAATAATATTGAGTGCAAATATTCAAAGATAATGAAGCCAAGCATAACATCTACAGGATTTATAATTGTATGTTAACACAGCACAAATTATCATTTGAAAGATGACCTATCAATTCACAAGTTGCAGAAAATGTTGGTACTCCATGGCTCAGTGGTAGAGCAATGATCTCGTAACCGGAGGTCCCGGAGTTCAAAACCAAGTCGATGTGCTAGTGCCCTTCTGTAAGGCATTAATCCTCATTACCAAGTCCCTTGGAAAGGACTTAAAGCCATGTGTCCCCTAGCTGCTTACTTTCAAGCACACACATGCTAAATCTTAGCAGTCGGTTAAATCAAACAAAGAAACAAACATGAGCTTACCTTGAAGAATGTATCCTTCCGTGCTGCAATCAGCTCATCCAAACCCTCTGATCCACTCTCCTCCATTCCCTCAAAACAAAACTGGGATATAAAGATGAAGAAATAAAAGATAAAACTACTAAGGAGAGTTATAAATGTTCAAAGCAACAATACTTACAATGACACTTCTCAAGCTCTATCTCACTGACTCTCTGCTTTCTGTTTTTTTCTCTCTCTTTTGTTCTGTTTTGTTGGCAGTCCCTTCATCCCTGTGTTATCATCTTATCTCTAAACTAGGAATATCCCTGTCCATATATTTTACCATGTAATTATATTGATCCAGGCAAAGATTATTCCCTAGCCATCTCCACCCCTCTCTCTTTTTAATTTATCTCCTTTTTTTTATTTGGCTACATGAAGTCTCCGCTCCCCTCTCTCTCTTTCCTTCTCTCTCTCTCTCTCTCTCTGTATCTATCTATATGACCCATCGACAAATGCACCCCTCTCCTCTCTCTCTCTTTCTCATAACCCTCTCCTCTCTCTCTCTTCTTACCTTAATGTTAATAGGAATGTCCCTTCCGAGAGCCTTATAAGCCTCGATCACATTGATCCAAGCCAGGACCGGTCCCTTATCATCCGTTGCTCCCTACCCCGTTCTCTCTCTCTCACTCTCTCCCTTTATATGCTCTCTCTTTCTCTCTTCTTACCCTAATGTTAATAGGAATGTCCCTTCCGAGAGCCTTGTATGCCTCGATCACATTGATCCAAGCCAGGACCGGTCCCTTATCATCTGTTGCTCCCTACCCCTTTCTATCTCTCTCACTCTCTCCCTTTATATGCTCTCTCTTTCTCTCTTCTTACCCTAATGTTAATAGGAATGTCCCTTCCGAGAGCCTTGTATGCCTCGATCACATTGATCCAAGCCAGGACCGGTCCCTTATCATCTGTTGCTCCCTACCCCTTTCTATCTCTCTCACTCTCTCCCTTTATATGCTCTCTCTTTCTCTCTTCTTACCTTAATGTTAATAGGAATGTCCCTTCCGAGAGCCTTATAAGCCTCGATCACATTGATCCAAGCCAGGACCGGTCCCTTATCATCCATTGCTCCCTACCCCTTTCTATTTCTCTCACTCTTTCCCTTTATATGCTCTCTCTTTCTCTCTTCTTACCTTAATGTTAATAGGAATGTCCCTTCCGAGAGCCTTATAAGCCTCGATCACATTGATCCAAGCCAGGACCGGTCCCTTATCATCCGTTGATCCCTACCCCCTTTCTCTCTCTCTCTCTCTTGTCTTACCTTAATGTTAATAGGAATGTCCCTTCCGAGTGCCTTGTATGCCTCAATCACATTGACCCAAGCCAGGACGGGTCCCTTATCATCTGTTGATCCACGTCCATACAGCTTCCCATCCTTCTCTGTCAGAATGAAGGGTTCAGTATCCCACCCATCCTCCTGAGGATAAAATGACAATTTTTGTTTTATTATAGCATAATTGGATGAATATTTGGGAGAGGTACAGTTTAACGCCCATGGTCCCCTCTACCCTCTCATGATGAAATGAATTGAATGAATAAACGATAAATAAATAAATAAACAAATAGATAGATTTTTTAAAAAAATTAAAAAATAGAGAGATAAACATGATTTATAAATAAAGTAATAAATGAATTAGTGAATAAATGAATATGAATAAATAAAATGTATATACAATAAAGAAATGAATGATCAAATATATCAAGAAATGAATGAATAAAAAATATTAATAAATATATATACAAAAATAAATTCACATAAGTCATAAAGCACCAGTCTTTTGATTGACCATTTTCCTTTCTCTTTTCCTTTCCTTTTTTTAACAAGATTTCCATTTTGAAAGTGTGGATATTACGGTTGCCCAATGAGCATACCAAGCTTTTCTTGTAAATGTAGGGGGAAACTGCTACCCCCCCCCCTCTCCCCCCTCCAATTTTCATATACAGTAATCAATTCTATAGGAAGAAAGAGCATTGTTAACAAACTAAGTAATGACATAATCAACCAATATAGTATGAAAGATCAGACAAAGAATTTTGTTTTGAAGTTGAGTTTAAATTCATACCAGCTTAGCAGGTTGGACATCCAAATGACCGTAGATGCAGACAGTCTTTTTGGCTGGGTCGTTTCCAAGGTAACCAAGGATAGCATCGGGGAGAGGGATGGTACTCTTATCAGGCAGGGTCTGGGTACCTACTGGTACCATCTCTGTCGTTGCACCAAGCTTTTTCAACATCTAGAAGAAACAAAAAAAAAACAGGATGCACTTTTAAAGCATTATTCTTACCAAGTATATAGGGTGTATCATAATAAAGGATATTGAAGTTTAATGACGATTTATATGAAAACTACTGATTTCATAATCAAGCACTTATGTCTGTTGTAAAGGACAGAATGTCCTCTTTTTAATGACACCCCAATCATACTTCTACTGTCACAGTTGACTGAATAACAAAGCATTGCTGTCCACCATGTGAAAGGTGCACTGTGCCAAGTTTGATAACATTTCCTTCTTAATAGACACATAATCCACTCATTGTTCAGCATTTCAATATGTCTGGGCTGACACAAGCACTAATCTTTGAATGCTAACTTGTCACAGTGCACCTTTCACATGGTGGACAGCAATGCTTTGTTATTCAGTCAACTGTGACAGTAGAAGTATGATTGGGGTGTCATTAAAAAGAGGACATTCTGTCCTTTACAACAGACATAAGTGCTTGATTATGAAATCAGTAGTTTCCATATAAATCGTCATTAAACTTCAATATCCTTTATTATGATACACCCTGTATACCTACCCTGTATTTAATAATAATAATCTTTTTTTTAAAAGTCCACTCCAAATTTTATTAAGTTAGACCAAAATGGAAATTCTTTTTGCCCAATTGATCGTGAGCCCGGCAGCCACTGAGCAGTGCCAGATCGACGTTGCTCTATCCCTTATTGTTGAATGCCAAACAAGGTAGCAGCAACTCCCGTCTTTTGGTATGACGCAGCCGAGGTTTGAACCCACGACCTCCCGGTTGTGAGGCGGTTGCTCTACTGACTGAGCCAACACACCGGTATATGGTGGTATATCATTGCTAAATGAACCATAAATAAATAAAATGAAGGGATTTTAGGCACGTTTTTAACACTCACTTGATCTGCAATGCATTTAGAAACCAAGGGCTCTACTCTCTTTTTAATCAATCAATACATTTTGAGAAGGCAAAACGTATATTGATTCACATTTTTTAATTGAAATATTTGGATTTGTTTCTCTTTTGGTTCATAAAGCTGTGAATTATTGCCCCACTGATACCCTCGAAGCAATTTAACACCTTGTAACCAGGATCCCCCCCCCCCCCCCTGAATTGTAATGTTTGGTACTTGGTGGAGTAATCCCTTTGGCAGCTCACTTAGGAAGCTATACTGGGATGGTAGCTGAGGCAAATGACTGCAAGGAGTGCTATGAAGTGCAGAAAGGGTGTGTGGAAAAAGCACTTGACAATTTGACAAAGAACTCAACTTGTTGAACAGTGAGTGGAAATATGACCTGGAAATCCTGTGATTTTGTGTTGACAGTCGAGGCATGTGACCCAGATCCAGGGTAAATATTTTCAAGGTATTTTTCTGTTCATTTGCATACAAAGGGAGGTTAAACAACAGAATCCAGTAGAAAATCATGGAAATATGATGCTTGATTGAAATACTGTACATACAAATGGTTACATTACAAAATTACATTTCATTGCACTCTCTCACATGTTGTTTGTTTATAAACGTTGCAAAGTTGAAGGTTACACATTTGCTATATGTATGGTAGGTAATGGGTCAGGATGCAAATTGGCAACCTGAAAGTTGAAAATTGTGCTCTAAGTTTGGAAGATATATATCTTGGAAAAACTGATCAAGAGGGTAATCACTCAAGTAAAATTATCTTTGTTTCAGAGTCACAACTTACAAGGCATGCTTACATGTATTACACCTGATGCACTTTTTCTGAGATTAAAATATGAATTATAAAACATACTATCTTTGTAATCAATGGAAAGGATCATTATAAATGTTAAGTCATCCACTTTTCAATGTGTCCTATATTTAGAGGCAGCTCTGATGTTTTCTCCTGGAAATTAATAATTCAGATGAAATTTCTTACAATTGATATAATATATATTTATTTATTTGTAGCAACCAAAGAGTTGGATTGATATAATACATACATTTTCAACATGATTATAAACATTATTCAATTGAGTACAATGAAATTGGTAAATTAGGAATATGAATACATGTAGATCATTAATACAAGAACATTACAAATCATTCAGGTATATCATATTACAAGTAAATAATGACAAGAAAAAAGGAAACAACATAAACTTGAATAGAGAGGAAAAGGGAGCAAGAGAGGAGAAAAGAAAGTACTGGTAAAAAGGTGAAAAAGCTGCAGAGATCAATCAAGTAAACTCTACATTCAAATATCAAAATAGATATTGAAGAACATTAACGTATGGGTATAACATAACGTTATGATATGGTAAAATGTGGGATTTTCTGAGAGACTTACGGCATCTACACTCTGCATCTGCTTGGTGATCTCCCCTCTCATCTCAGGCCATGCTGATACACTCTTGATCGCTACCGCATCAGCTAGCCTCTTGATATAGTCCTCCTGATGCTCATCAATGTAGCTGGAAAAATTAAATAGAAAAAAAATCTCATTTAAAGGCCATGATCTGTACTAGATTGGCTAGGAGGGATTAGACCACCCAGGAAGGTCACTGACAGGTGGCTTTCTCATTAACTCGGCTCTCAATTATTGTCTTTCAAAATAAATTGGACAGTGCCAAGGCTTTCTACAACTAAGGCCAGGAATAATAGCTTTGTTGTTTGTTTCTTTTGTCCTTTTGTTTGTTAAATCTCCAATATGGGCAACACCTTCTCTCTCAAATAGTTTCCCTATTGATCAGCACCTCAACACATGAATTTGTAATGCCTTATGATTTCAAATAAAGGATGTGTTACGCTTGAGCTGGGCGCGAGGCCTATTAAAGTCTACTAAAGCACGACGCCAGGGATTGGGAGGCCGGAGGAAATGCAGCTCTCGCACTCGCGAAATCTAATTTCTTTGCTCCTGGGACATTGTACATGGTACATTGTCCAGTCAAGATGCAACCTCTTGCCCCTCTGCCTCCCTGACTTGTATATAATGAGAATTATTATTAAAGAGTATGAGATAAGAAGATAGACCTGAAAGCTCGACTGCTGTCTCAGCATTCTTCCAGTATTTGCGATAAAGGTAAAGGTAAAGGTAAAGATATTTCTTCTTCTTCTTCTGGTCAAGTACAGACTGGCATTGGTGTATTATCGTACTTGTGCTTGTCGAGTGCCCAGATGAATAGTGCAAGTAAAATATCTCAAAGTAGAGCATATTGATCATCATACATTTACAATGCAAAGAAAAGAATTATGGCAATGATAACAACAAAGTGAACCAAAAGAAAGACGAGGAGTCAGGAGACCCTGGCAAAAGCAGAGCTTGTAAATTTTAGGGCCCCTTCTGGACCAAATAATTGGTTGGTACAGAAATTAGCAACAAGAGTCTAGAGCAGGCCTTCTCAACTGGCGGCGCTTGCGGTCAGTCAGAGTGGCGCGCGGCTGTTCCAAAAATTAATAAAAATTAAAAATTAAAGAAAGAACAACATTAAAACAATTTATTTTAAAATAAAAAAACTCAGAAAAATCAAAAAGTCGCAGTCGAAGTTGAGCCCAAAATGTAAGCAAGCCATTTTGTTTGTTTGATTTTCACTTCATTTTGACATTTTCCGTGTTTATTGCACCAAAATAACTACATGTACATATAAATTAACTTCCAGTGTAGATTTTAGCCAGGAATTGTACTAATTAATTCACATCAATATGAAATTATGATTGATGTTTTATGGAACAAAAAGGTGTTAAAAATGCCACATCTGGGCCTCAAAAAAGCCCTAAAATCCACTAGCTTCTGGGGGCTTTGCCCCCTGGACCCCACCCGGTATCGGCTCGGTCGCTACGCTCCCTCGTAACACAGTCACCAAACATACAGGTTGCAACTTCAACCTCAATTCATTTTTGTTTTGGCGCTTCTAATAAACTAGTTGAGAAGGCCTGGTCTAGAGAAACATGATGGGAGTAAATATTTGTGACTACCTAACTAAGCTAAGATAAAGAAAAAGGTGGTATAAGAAACAAGAACTAGTAGAAGTGTACTCAAAATCGGGAGACTAGACTAGACAAGACAAGACGGGAGAAAGTGAGAAAATATGAGAAATAATCAAACTAAAAGACTACAGCACATCAACAATATAGGTAGCCTACAGCACACAATTCACAGCGGGCACAAGACAGCAGGGAGGCGAGGAGGGAATAAAAGCCTGACAATCTGGTGAAAATAAAAGTTAGTTAGAACATTAATATTTAATATCAAGAAGAAGAAATGTGTTACTGTGTAAAAGTTAGATCTAGTGTGTTAATTAAGCAAGGCCCAGGGAGAGACAAATGAAGAAGTTTTTACCTAAACAACTTGGGTAGGAATTCATCTGCCATCTTTAATCGTAGTAGCTTGTACAGCGACTTGTTCCAAAAGTGTAAAAACTAAAAGAGAAAGAGAATTTCGATTAACACGTAACGGTGATGGGATGGGCAGTTCTGCGTTGGCACGCAGTGAACAGTGAACGCATGCAGTGAACAGTGAAATGTCAGCTGACTTGTAGCATATCATGTGACCTGTTTATGGAAAGCTGCATTGTAATAATTGTATTCAATTTGATAATCGAATTTCATACAATTTTATCACTTAAATATCTGAACATTCCGAATTCTTGCAGGCTAAATATATAAGAAATAATTCTAATTAATCCTATGCTAAACAAAAATTAAATTGGATAAGAGAAATTTCAATGGCAGTGCATTTAGACCTATATATTTTAACAAAATAAATATGCGGCAGTCCAACGCACTGTGAATTCAATTTGACTCGGATCGGGTAGACTAAAAAAAGTTAGACTGTCTTTAGTTTTAGAATCAAAGTAAAAGATGAGGTCTGTGGTTTTTGTTGAAAAGATAGAGCTGGATTTCTCTGGCAACATCTTTGCCAATGCACTGGTTCTTGGTGATGTGGACAATGATTCGGTAAATTTGAATTTGAAATTCAATTTTGTTTCTTAACTTCTTTGACTTTTTGCAACCGTAAACGTAACTCCAGGGACCTCCGCCGCATGCGCGCCGCCAAAGGCGTCGGCGTCGGAGCTCCCTGGAGTTACCACAATAAACGTACTGCGAGGCTGTGCTGTGTACATGGTAGTGATAGTGAACTCAGACATGTAGATTTGGAGTGAAGTGTGCAGTGTCACAGTGACATTTGTATATAAGCTTTGAGCCTTGTGGGTGTGGCTGAGCTGAGTTTTGTGACTTTTAAGGAAGTGTTAATAACTTAAATTAATGTAAATATTGAGGATGGAGATGATAAGCCAGGATTATGAAAGGAGGAGGAGGAAGAGGATCAAGAATGATGATGATGATGATGTTGAATTGAGGTACTATTACTAATACATGAAGATAATTCTTGTTGGTATTGATCATGATCGATGATGACTAATAATAATATGATTATCATGAGCAGAGTGAGGATGAGGAAAATCAAGAATGAGCATGATGAGGATGGATTGATTACGAGGAGGAGGAGGATACTGATAATGATGATTATGAAATTATTATGATAATGATGGTGATGGTACTGATTGTGTTGCTCCTGATATTAAATGCAGAGATAATATGATAATGATAGTGATCATTTCTATCTGAACACCTGAGTATTGATCAAGAAAGAAAGTGAAAATGAAAATTGAAGAAGAAGCTGAGAAGAGGGAAATATTACATGCCACATTCAATTGGTTTTCGACATCTGGACATTTTTTATGCTCCTTCGGAAAATGAAGAAAACAATTGAGAAATTCCAAAAATGGATTTGTATGATGTCGCAGCTTCAGTACTGCATGCAGAGATGCTATGATAGTGATCACTTCTATCTGAACACCATTGATCAAGAAAGAAAGTGAAAATGAGAAATGAAGAATCATGAAAAGAGGGAAATATTACATGCCCATAAGAATTCATCAATTAATGTATTTATATTATATATTTTGTTTTTTTTAGCTTCATGAACTGATGGTTGGTAGTGTGGATGGGGAGCTATGGATATACAAAGGAGATAACACTGTACCCTTTGCAACAGCATCTAACCTTGGAATGGTAAGCGGCACAGATCATTTATATTGTAAACCGAACTTTGTGAATGTCTCCCCTCTCATGAGGTGATCTTCACTGGCTAAATGTTAATGATGGTAAGAATAGATACATAATCTCACTTACCAACGTATTGATAATCAGGCCCCATTATGGTTAGATGATCCACACACATCTATGTATGATACACTTTCCGTCCCTTGAACTACCGGTAGTAAACAGATAGGTGATAGGGCTTTCTCAGTTATTGCCCCCAAAACTTGGAACTAATACTACTAGTACCCCTTGTACTAAAGAATAGCGCTACTCTCACAGCTTTCAAGAGGTGTTTGAAAACACATCTTTTCTAATTTGTTTTGATTTTCCTGTTTGTTTGGGATTGATCTAAGCTTTGTAAGATAATGCTCTCTGTATTACTTTGGTTGTAAGTATTCTGGTTTTAATATGTGCTTTGTATCTTATGAAAAGATGCTTTATAGCTGTAATATCAGTATCACTGAAGCCAATTTGAATAGAAAGTTTTCAATGTTTCTTAATGAAATAATTAGCAAAGACAGAAGTTCACAGAACAGTGTCAAGTAGTATAAACATACTTCTAAATTCAATTTTAAGGCATTTCTAGAAAATATTTCACCTTTTTTTAAAATTTACTAATTTTCTTTTCTATTCATTCCAGATTGTGTGTACAGAAATCGCAGATGTGTGTAATACAAATAAGGTAAGAAAATCTTGCAAGATAGACAAATGAAGTTTGTATTGTTTCTTTTTTTGAAGAAAAAATTGTGAGTCTCTTAAATGTAATTTGAACAATCACTTAATCAGAGGCCTAGAATCTTGACATGGGATTTAAAAAATTGATACTTATTACTTTATTCTTTCTGCACGCCTGATTTTTGGTCATTTTTTAAACATTTCCTTCTTCCTTTGTTATGAATTCTAACCTGACCAGCCAATCAGAACAAAAGTATACATGACTGTTTTTATTATGGAGAAGAAAGTAACTTCATTCTTTCCTTTTCTGGTAATTAGAATGTGGCAGTTGTCCTATGTGCGGATGGGCTGTGTTACCTCTATGCAATTGACAAGCAGAGCTTTGCAGACAGGCAACCCCAAGAAGGGAAACAGGTAATTCATTATTATTCATGTAGAGGTGTTGTGGTCTAGTGGATAGGTCACCCAACTGCAGATCACAAGGTCCTGGGTTCAAGTCCTTGCTGCAGCACTAATGTCCTTTGACAAGACGTTAATCTTCATTTGCCACACTCCACCCAGGTGCAAATGGGTACCTGATATGCTTATAATAATAATAATAAAAACTTTACTTATAAAGCGCTTAACACCGTAGTCTCTAAGCACTATAACAAACAAAATAGACTGATAAACAATTACATATTAAACAAAACAAAACAGTGCAAATAAACCTACAAATTACAATACATATGGAATGCACATCAAAGTGAACAGAGTTCATTAATCATCAAAAGCAATTTTGAATAAATGTGTCTAAAGACTAGTTTTGAATAGGTTAATAGTTTGACAGTTTTTGACACTTAAAAACTTTGACAAGTAGAGGTGTTGTGGTCTAGTGGATAAGTCACCCAACTGTAGATCACAAGGTTCTGGGTTCAAGTCCTTGCTGCAGCACTAACGTCCTTTGGCAAGACGTTAATCTACATTTGCCACACTCCACCTAGGTGTAAATGGGTACCTGATATATGCTTAAGCGCTTTGGCAGCTCGGCTATAACCAGGGTAATATGTGTAAAGCGCCATGAGAAATTGGAAACTAGAATTATGATATTAAAGGATTATAGTAGTGGGTTTTCATGGGGAATTCGACACCATTTGGGTGTTTACACAATAACAGGTGTTGTCAAACACCAAGAGTGGACTTCACTTTTGTGACTGACAGGTCTTGTGTAATGCATTGTGCCCTAGCCTACGGCGTATGGAATTCTCATCATAATTTCATAATTTCCCTCGCCCTCAAGATATGAAGGCAAGTATTTTTGGGTGGGACCATGGGTTTGCTGCTTCAGACCTTGCACACACAGACACATAAAAACCTTTGGCCCTATTAATTAATAATTCAACTAAATCTGGTGATGCAATACATATGGACACTGACTACTATGTGGCTTCAAAGATAAATTCAACTATAGTTGAATAAAGTAATAAACAAAGGAACTCAGTAAAAGTTGAAGAAATTTGGAATAGGTCCGATGGCACACCAAAAATGTATTTTTCCTGTGACTGTTTTGATGTCTGAGTGGTTCAGACACCTTCCTTTAGAAGATGCCATTTTCTGCATCATAAAGTAAGTGACAATATGAGTACCTCTAAAAATGCATGGTTTTATATAACCTTAATGGAGGTGATATTAAGTAATGCTATTATTTATAATTTTGCTTGATAGGCAGAAAGTGCTCCCAATACCTCTGACGGCCAAGGCGCTGAAGAAACTCCCCAAGAAACAAGAAAACCTTTGGCCCTAACTCCATTCCACACCCAGCACCTACCTGCCAATTCTAAAGTTGTGCTGGTGGCAGACATCGGTAAGTTAACCCCTATACTACTGAGTTTGCATATTCCCCATACGTTTTATATATACAACCACCTGATTCTGGTAAGGAAAGGGTTTATCACCAGAAGAAGGTAGATGGGAGAATGTCTTCTCTATGTAATATAGTAGTTAGTCCATGCAAACTGTGTGTAATATTTCATGTTTTCGTGAAGCATAATGAAGAATTTTTTGTAAGTTATAAATGTAACTAGTTAGCGTGTGATAATTATCATTTGTGTTTGTGTAAAGATACAAGATACATATAATGTGTATTTCTTATATATTTCTTGTAAATCATGCCAAATTTGGTTTTATTCTTCATAATGTATACATTGCATCTAAAGTTACAGGGCAAATTATTGAAGATAAAACCTTCAAAATTGTTATCTAATGTCTAAAAGTAAAGTTCATTACATTTTTTCCAAATCTCTTCTTTCTTTCTTTTTTGGATTGAGGGGGAGTGGGGAGATAAAGATTAGGTATGGCCCATTGCTGTATTAAAACTGATACCCATTATTTTCTTGCAATGATTTTTGTGTAAACAGTTAATCAAAATCATGGGGTAAATATGTTGCTTTATATTTTTGACAAACTGAATGCCTACCATCATCCTTTCCACACAGATAACGATGGGCAGCTAGAGCTAGTAATCGGATACACTGATAGAGTAGTCCAAGCGTACAGATGGCAAGACAAGACAATGCTTCCAGAAGTAAGAGCTTTGGATTTTTTAAAGATGCATAGTAGTCGGCCACATGGGGAATTCGACACTGTTCAGGTGTTTACCCTATAGCAGGCATTGTCAATCACCAGGATCAGCCTTCAGTTTTATGACCGAAATGCCTTATGTAATGCTTTGTATTTCCTCATCCATTCCTCCACAAGGTAAAGTCATTATCTCACTTTTCCCTCACCCGAAGACTCTCCGAGAGACGAAAGGGGATTTCTTGATGGACATACGGGTTCGCTGTGTACAGACTTGTAAACACATTAATTGTATTTCCACAAAGTTTGGTGTCAGCAAATTATGGTCTTCTGCACACGACCCACTCCCTTTAACCCTTACTGTACTGGGCTATTTTGAGCACCCACTGACTGGGGGGGGCCTGGGAGGCCCCCCCCTATGATCTCGGCCGTCGATTGTCCGATGAACACGAAAATTTGCACGTTTGTAGATATTTACGTAAGGAACAAGATGGTATAATTAGTTTTTTCCGAATATGCAAATTTTTGTCGTTAGCCTAATTAATTATGCAAAAATGCTAATTTTATGCATTTTACAGAAAACGTTTCAAACTCCACTTTTTGAATGTTGAAACTCATTATTCATATGAAACTTCTTTTTTAACTCAAAAAAGTTAATTTAATGTAATTAATAATGATAATTTATGCAAATTTTGATGCAATTTTTTTTTTTTTTTTTTTTTTTGATGACATGCGCATACTAATTGTTATGTAACGCCTTACAGGTATATCCGATTTCGACGAAAATGGTATCAAAATGTGCGTGAGACTTGAGGGAAAAAAGTCATGAAACGACAATTCAAAATTCCAAGCGGTTGCGGCGCAAACTCCAAAAATGTCGAGGGGGGGGCCTCCCAGGCCCCCCCCCCCAGTACAGTAAGGGTTATGGCATACTTTGTCAAGGATAAATACATGTATGTTTGTAAAATCATTCATTCCTACAGAGTACATAATCATCACCAGTATCAGTCGTAAGTTTGATGTACAACACAAAACCTCATACCATAAAAGGTATATTGTTTGCAATTTAGAAGAATCAAGCTTTGGTCTTGAGAAGCATTTGGTGGAAGGAAAAAAAAATAGCATTCAAATACGTCATTTTCATCTTGGAAATCCCATATCTGTAGCAGGGTGATATCATGTCATGGAGCGGTGTCCATTAAATAAAATTTTAATATTTCAATTCATTTATTTCAATTATAAAACCGTAAAAAAATATATATATACAAAAGTAACATGAAACAATCATAATCTTACAATTCTGGAATTAAGAAATTGGAGACTAAAAAGGAAGTTTGAAAAACTTGTAAGTAATAGTCACCTGACATAAATAATAAATAACAAGATTATATGGTCGTACACGTTACCAAAACAATAACAATATATAAATAAGATACTACACATTATAGATACACACAGATGAACACACACACACACACACACATGCATGGTACATTGCAAGGTAGAAAAAGGTAAAAGAAAGAGTTAAGGGAAATAAGAAGAGACCAACTATCTGTTCAATAGAACTGTAAAGGATGATATAGTTGTGCATAATGTAAGTTTATCAGTTAAATCATTTCAAATACGGGGACCAATATGTCTAAAAGAGTAAAGCATTAACTGGGTAGAGACCTTTGGATAATGATATTTGATACAGGAACGAGTATTATACGAATGAACAGATTTATTAAGGATAAACATTTGACAAACTCTTTTAGGTAAATGCGATCATACTAACATAGAGTTTGGTGTTGTTTTACAAGTGTAGTACCAGTAGTGATTTGAATGTACACTGTATGTGTACCCCACATTAGTGCACTGTAATAACCGTTAGTCAGTTCCATCATTTGATCATACCATGGCGAAAAATTGAATTATTTATGATACAATGGAGAGGTGTTGTGGTCCAGTGGATAAGTCTCTGGACTGTGAACCACAAGGTATGGGGTTTGAATCCCTGCCACAACACTAACGTCCTTCTGCAAGACGTTCATCTACATTTGCCACACTCCACCCAGGTGAGGTAAATGGGCACCTGGTAGGATCACTCCTTGAAATGCACTGTACTGATAACATCTGCCGGAGCTAATAGGGTAATCATATCCAAAGCTCTTTGGAAGTGCATAGGATGTTATATCATAATGCGCTATACAAGAATGGATTATTATTATTGATGGAGCCAGAACTGAATTTACATATATTCTATTTCATTTTTGTTGCAGGAGGCTGAAGGTTCAGGAGAAAAGGGGTTTGTGCTTCTTCAAAGATGGAATGTTGATGGTCAGGTATGGCATTGTTTCGTTACAAATGTGTGCTGCTTCATTACAAATGTGTGCTTCTTTAGTTGGTATAGAATTATTAGTGGCCTTTGTTAGATGTTAATATAGAGGAACCAGAGAGTGGTGTTGGCGTTCAAGAAATGTAACAGATCTTTTGCTATGCTAAAATTGTTTTAGTGCTAATTGCAATGTGGAACAACGTTTGTTGTTCGATTGAAAAAGATTGACAACATACATTTGCTGTCAATTTGGTTTGGTGTTGAAGTTTTATAAAGGAGAAAGAATAACTTTGTCACAATTTGCTTCTGTAGTAGAGGCAGGCAAATACCGGTAGATTGATATGATTACAAATGAAATATAAAGTTGGATTTATATTGTAATGAGTGATGAACATTGCATTGATTCATTAACTGATCTATCGTGGCCTACGCTATTTGAGATTATTTTTGTTGATTTATTTTTCATTTTGTTTTGTTTAGGTGGGTTCTCTTTCATTGAGTAAGGACACAGATGGCTCCCCCATGCTTGTAGTCTCACAACCAGGCTGTAACTACGCTGAGCTCAAATGCAGTTGGGTCATGCAGCAAGGGGCTGAAGATGACAACCCAGAAGATCAAAGGTAGCCATGGAAATAATATCTGTTTATAAAAAATGTACCTGTTTCTATTAAAATCACAAAATGATGCTGTAATTTTAAAATGCAAATTTACTAAAAATGTCAACTTTGGTGAAAATCACATAGATGAAACAAGGTGCCGAAGATGACAATGTAGAAGATCAAAGGTATCCATGGAGATAATATTTGTTTACTTCTATAATTTAAATTTAGTTAGGGATGATAAAACAGGCTGTGTAAATATGTACTCGTTTGGTTTTAAAATCACAAGATGATGCTGTAATTTTTGAAATGCAAATTTACTCAAAATGTGAACTTCCGTTAAAATCACAAATAATGTTTCTTTGCTATTTCTAGACTGTTCTAGGCTGGATTGGGCTTCAGAAGTTCTTCATGGAGTTTTTGTAATTTAATGATTATGCTATTTCAAATCACAAACAAATAAAATACTTCAAAGCCATCCACTTTCGATCTTGGTGCAAATCATTAATAGAATCTTGAAAGTGATGGTGTCTCCTGTAGTTTTCAAACCGAGGCCAAAGCACTGAGTGCATAATTTGCTGTCCTAATACAAAATATCATTAATACCATGAGCATAGTAATAATAATATTCCGTTCTTGTATGGTGCATAACACATCATGATATATTGTCCCTATAGGCTTCCAAAGAGCTTAGAAAATTATTACCCTAGCTTTAGCTCTAGCAGCCGTTATCAGCGCAGTGCATTTCAAGGAATAATCCTACCAGGTACCCATTTACCTCACCTGGGTCGAGTGTGGCAAATGTAGAGTAACGTCTTGCCAAAGAACTTTATTGTTGTGGCAGGGATTTAAATCCCATACCTTGTGGTTCACAGTCCGGAGACTGGACCACAACAAGATGTTACTATTATACGATTATCATTATTCTATCCTATCCATATTTATCTTCCCTTAGTTGCAGTGCTATAAGCAAGGATCCCTATGTCAGTATGCATCTCATCACTTTTCTCAGGGCCAGACATGCAGATGTGTCCACAGAAATCGTTGCTGGTTTATCAAAAGGTTACATTTGTTTGTTGAGATACTTTTCAATATTCATCTTTTGTATTGTTTTTGTTTATTGTCAACAGATTTTGTGTATTTTGTTTTATTTTTATATTATCTAATTTTTCTTAATGATGTATCAAAAATGTTTGTTTGTTTATTCAGTCATTTATTTCTTTATCATAATTCATTTATTAACATATCATAAATTCTGTTATCATAAATTCATTTATTTAGTTATCCTAAATTTATTTATTTGGTTATCATAAATTCATTTATTTATTTATCATACATTAATTTAGTCATTTATTCATTTATTTATCATATATATGCCTTCTTCTTGTTTGGGCATGTTAATTTATTGACGGACACTTATCAGGCTCCCGTGACAAATCTTAGTCTAGACTTGACTACTACAATTTCAAAACTTAACAGGGGGGCTTCGCTCATACATGTACATATAGACCCTAAAAGTTAAAGACGCATAGTAGTGGGCTCTCATGGGGGATGTGACACCATTCAGGTGTTTACCCAATAACAGGTGTTGTCAATCACCAGAATTAGCCTTCAGTTTCATGACCAACATGCCTTATGTAATGCTCTGCATTTTCCACCCATCCCCCATATGGTAAATTCATCTTATATTTCCCCTACCAGAAGACTCTGTGAGAGACTAGGGGGTACTTCTTTATGGGACCATGAGTTTGCTGTGTGCGAGACTTGTACACCCATTAATAGGATTTCCACCAAATCTGGTGTCAGCAAATTATGGCCTTCTGCACATGAAAACTGACGACCATCTCCCTTTAAATTCGGACCCCCTACAAACGGGTGAGTTTAGAGCCCTGTCAGTGACTTTGATTATTTATTTATTATTGTTTCTGTTTTGTGTTGTTGTCTTTTTCAGGAGAGAAAGAAGGAGGGGAAGATATCGAGCCAGAACCAGACAGAATAGCAATGTGTACTCTAGATGGTAAGACATTATTAGCAAAATCGAAAGTAACAGTTTCTTTTAGCCATTGTCTTGTAGAATGAAGCTGCGGACTGTGAATTAAAGAGGTTCAATTCTTGTGATGATGAAACACATCTGTTGTTGTTGTTGGTGAGATGTAGATGGCGCTCTTCATAGAGGTGAAAGGGTGTCACGCGATGTGCTCTGCTCTGGCTTTTCAAAAAAGTAATCATAAAAGAATGATAAACAGCACTCTTATCCACCAGGCAAGGTGCTCAAGATCCTCCAATATTTTTCCCCAGCTAGGCTAGGATACCAATTACAGTGCTTAAACAGCATTCAAGAAATGCCTTCATTCTGATACCATTGTATTGCATTTCCTTGTTGCATGTGGTCATAGAAAATAGAGGGTAGCTTATGCTACAATATCCGTTTTTACCATGACTTATGTTAATGAGTGCCCATATAAGTACAGCTTTATTATATTTCTTTTTTCATTTTTCTTTTTCGTACCAGGAACTCTGATGTTAATTGAAAAGGATAAGAGTCTGTGGTCAAGACTTGTTGACCATCAGTTGTTTGCATTGACCAAGCTGGACATTATGGTAAGCATTCAGAATATTTATCAAGTCTTAAAACTTTCTTACCTCTCTTTGCGACTCTCTTTTGACCATCTGTCAACAAGAAGTTGGAAGAGTAAAATTTACTCTCTGCTGCAGAAGTACACTTTACTTTCCATTACACAAAGTATCATATTATTACCTTGGCTTCAGCAGAGCCTCCAGTATAAAGTTCTTTTGTGTTTATGGAATCTCTTCCTACTGGGCACCCATTTGTCTCACCTGGGTGGAGAATGGCTAATGTGAGTTGCTGCAACGAAAAAAATACACGGTGGCGACGGGCGATTCGCCCCCTAAACCTCTGAAATCGCCACGGTAAAAATCAAGACGAGGGCGAAAAAAAATCAATATATCTTGAAAAATCGCCCCCGCCATAAATTAATATTCCCTATGAATTAATAAACCAATTTATTGATGTGTCTGAGTGAAATCTCCGTTCCAACTACCAACTCCAAAACTAGAAACTTCCATCAACATTTTAAAAGTTTTGTGAGTTGCAGCGGATCGGCGGTCGTACCTACTGTAGCTAGATCTACAGCGGTATCCGCCTGCCTGCGCCTAAGCTCCCGGCGGCCGGATAGGCCACCGGCCCCGATGTAGTTTCGTGCACAGCATGAATGCATACGCAGTTCGCACACGTTCACAATACACAGAAACGTACTAGCTCAGCTCCAGCGCGCGCCCGTACGCTCCTTGTATGAAGCAAATAAGTATTTGCGAGTGACGAGAGCTCAACTGCTAGCGACCAAATTGGTACGTAATATGTTTATTTAGTGTTTTTTCTGGCCCTAATTTTTATCATGGACAATGCAATCCCATTAAAAAAAATGTTATTCCGTCTAAAATTGTGTTATTTATAAGTTGAAACCATTAAATGCGAGTATATTTTTACTGTTGTCCCACATACTGATATATTTGTAATAACGAAACGTGCAAAATCAATGCCGGATTTTTTCCTGTAAAATCGGTATAAAGCAAGTTTTGTACACAGAAATTGAATTTTGTTATAAAAAAACCGTAAATAAATATATAAAGGATGTTCCTACTACTCAGAATCTTTCTTACAACTGTTTAATTAAATTAAATTATTTATATACGATCGATGCCAGGCCAATTGTCATGAGTGATGATGACATCAATTTCTGTCTACGAAATGAAACTAGCTTTGGCTTGGCCTTTAGAATTAGAGTCTATAAAAAAAAAATAAGGCCATGATTTTGCATGTTTCGGCATAACAAATAGACCCTACATCGGTATGTGGGACAACAGTGAAAATATTTACTCACATTTAATGGTTATAAATGGTCTAAATAACACAATTTTAAAGGGAGTTGGTCTACATTTTTTTTTAAAGGGAAAGTCCACCCCCAAAATAAGTTTGTTTCGATAGAGGCAGAATAATAAGAAAATCAGGTGAGTGAAAGTTTGAGCAAATTCTGAATGAAAATAAGAAAGTTATGAATTATTGAAGTTGTGATCAATCAAATACAAATTGGCAACTCTGTGACTTATTATACGAGCTCTCCTTCATTTGCTTTGTGCATAATATTCCATAAAATCATGTTTTCTTCGTTATTGATGACGGAATATATATTTGTTCCTTGCAGGGGGAGTATATAGAAACATATTTGCAATTATTATATTTAGGGTGCATGTATGGTTGAAATTTTTCTTGAGGGAAAATGAAAATTTTAGATTTTTTTAGTACTGAGCAAATGGAAGTTGAGCTCGCATGATACGTCATAGAGTTGCCAATTTGTGTTTGATCACAACTTCAAAAACCCTAACTTCCTTATTTTTAATCGGAATTTGCTCAAACTTTCACTGACTTGTTTCTCTCATTTTTCTACTCCTATTAAAACTAACTTAATTTCAGGGTGGACTTCCCCTTTAATGGGATTGCATTGTCCATGATAACAATTAAATTTGGGACAGAAAAAAAGACTAAATAACATATTACCTACCAATTTGGTTGCTAGTAGTATGATGGCTAAGGAAAAACACAACTTATTGTTACAGCTTACAATATGGCTTTAAGGAAGTAGCCCCTTGGTTTTTTTTAGGCAATGGGGAAAAGTAGCCCCCATAAAAAAATTAATTCCTAGCCCGCGTGTCAGTGATAATATTTTCTTAGGATATGAAAAACGAACAGTTAAACAAAACACTCCTTTTGACAAGTTTTAGTTACATGTATATGTAAATCATAAAGCCACACGTTTAACACAAAGTGAATAAATCATGGGTATCTGAATGTCTGCAATACTCTACATGACATATGTACGCTACAATTGTATCTATATTTGCCTTTGCTTGGAATTTAATTAGGTAATACCGCATTTAAAAAAAATACCTTTAAAAAAAAAAAGCCCCCCTGAGCTCCAAAATAGCCACCGCAAAATAATTAAGGGGGGCTATTTTTTTAAGGGAAAATCTGAAAAGAGCCCTCGTAAAAAAAAAAGTAATTTTTTGGTTGAGTTGCTGTCTACCCAAGTGACATGGCACTGGGGCAAGAATTGTATTTCCAGTGATCTGATTGGATATTTTCAAATTTTCAATGATCTGATTGGTTGTTTCACAGTGTGATGGGTTGGATGAGGTAGAAGCTTAATTGTGCGTGGGATGGCCAGACGCATTATAGACCACGCACTGCCATCTATCTTGTTATAACTAATGTAGTGTACTGATTGGCTAATTTCAAATTTCTAATGATCTGATTGGTTGTTTCACAGTGTGACGGTTGGGATGAGGTGGTAGCCTGTGCATGGGACGGTCAGACATACATCATTGACCATACACAGCAGTCTATCCGATTCCATCTCAAAGAGAATGTCTGTGCTTTCACCGCAGGTAAGATACATATTTGGTTATCCGATATTTGCTCTGGCACAAGTGTTCTCTGCTTTCCAGGCCTGATAAAAACCCGATTTAAATCGGTTTCCCGATTTTTTTTATTTTTCCCGATTTTTTCCCGATTTTTTTTTTCTTCCCGATTTAAAAAAAAAAAAAAAAAAAAAAAACTTTTTTTTTTTTTTTTTTTTTTTTTTTTTTTTTTACCAGATTTTTTTTTCTTTCCTTTTTTATCCTGATTTTCCTGATTCCCCCCTTATTTTCTCTATTCTTCCCTATTTTGCCCAATTTTTTTCTCCCAATTTTCTTACTCGAAAGGGGGGAATGTTGTTAGATGCCGTTTTTTCCCCGCGAATCGCCTTTTTTTTTTTTACTCAAGGGGGGCGTGGTTGAGGGGAAAACAAAAAACCTATTTTTTTTTTAGTGCTCACTATCACCCCTGGCTTTCTTTCGCCAAAAGGATAGCGTTATGGTTAGGGTTGCAATTGGGTTTCACTTGTAGGTTAGGTGTTCCTAAGGGCTGCAGGTGCATACTTGGTTATGCTATAGCCCTCCTGCGTCTACTCTATGTTTATTATGCATTCAGTACGTTTAATTTTACATTTCATATGTATAATGTATTTATTTGATAAATCATATCAGATCTATGCTCATATGTTCATGAAAATATTTTTTTGAAAATGTATTTTTAAGGAGATGTAGAAACCAATAAACCGATTCAAATTAAATTAGGGGCCAGTTTACCAAAACTGTCCTTAGTCAAAGTTCCTGCAGATGTCAATTCTAATTGAAACCTGTGTTAATTCTATAACACTTGTTTCTATGATGTTCAAGAATTTTGACCTATGACGGTTTCGTCAAACTTGCTCCAGAATACCACCCATGATCTATATCTACTCTTAAGAAATGTACTTCATTCAATCATTTTATCAATTTTTCAACTACTTTTTAAGATCTTTACAGCACCAATGGTAAAAACATCCTATGCCTTGTGTATGCTATCTTCAACAAATAGATGTACATCTTCAGTCCATGAACATTCAACAAACCTATCTATCGATCAATAATTCAATCTATGAGTCATTCAAGCATTATTTCAACATATGCTTTTTATCCATGCCAATTAGGTCTTTACAGCACCAACGGAAAGAACACGCCATGCCTTGTCTACGCCACGTTTAACAACAAGATCTATATCTACTGGAATGTTCAGCTACCCAGGATACGCTCGGCCAATCTCATCCATGTCGCATCCGCAAACGAGGAGCTTCAGGAAAGATTAGACAAGTTAGGAATAAGTAAGTTTTTGTTTTGCATTGTAGTATTTTTGTCTCCTTCCCCTAATTAGTTCTGGGACCTCTTGCATACAAGTCAAGTTGCGATTGATTGCAACTCAGATCAAACGCAAATATCATACGCAAATTGCAATCAAACGCAACTGCGCATTGGATACAGAGAGTTGCGATTGAAATCAAACGCAACTATGCGTTTGGTCATATACCTATCATAAAGTTGCGTTTGATCTGGAAAGTTGCGCTTGAAAGTTGCATTTGAAATCAAACGCAACTCTATATGGAATGGCATTGCAAAGTTGCGTTATTTTCAGAGTTTTGTTTAAACACAACTCTTTATGCAAATCAACCTGTTCCTACAGTTGGAATTTGAGCCTTGCTTCATTCTTGTTTTTTACCCTAATGGTTGCAACTTTATATCGAGAGTATGTCGTGCTGCTCCCAAACTCTGGAACAGTCTCTCTCCTCATCTAAAATCATCGCCAACAGTGGGACAATTCAAACAGAGTTTGGAGACGTTTCTAGAATAGGTCTAATATACATTCATTGAACTCACACTGTCACTGCTTGGAAACTTATATATATCGGTACTATAACGCCGACTTAAGGATGGCATCTCAAAGTGCCCTGTATCCAGCAGATGAGGCGTTATATAAATAACTAGGCGTTGTGGCGTGCGACTGTAATCCAGCTAAAAGTGGAAGTTACAAACTGACGCAGGTCTGAAACTGAGTCACGTCTTTCGGATGTTGACGTTTAAAGGTCGGTCCCCAGACACGTCTGTAAAAACCCAATACACACACACACACAGTACACGCTACAATTGTAATATTAGAATTCTCTGGATTTTTCTCATTTACTGCAAATTTGCCAATCACAGTTTGTTTATGAAGGAATATAAAGGAAGTTTTACCAGGCAATTTTATCTAATGTTTCTTTTCCTTTATCTCTACACAGAATCAGAGGATGAAAAGAGAGAGCTCTTCAAACGGCTGATCTACGGAGGATCCAAGAAATCAATGGACAAGACAGAAGGTATCAGCTAGGGAGCTACTCGCAGTACAAAGCAACAGACTGATTGGACTCTACAGGTGGCAGTTGGTACCTCGAGGGCACATGGGCTTACAACGTGTAATGCTCGAAGAGCACAATCCTCTTAAACTTTTTTCTGTCTCTTGAATGCATGCATTTACTGGAAGACAGAGGGAATTAACCCGTAGCCTACTGAAACTTTGTGGTTCTTGTATTAAACTACGGTCACAAAGGTTTGTACGAACGATGCTTTCGTAAGAATCTCCCTGTTCGTACAAATTCCAGAGTTTGTAGAGATTTGTAGATGGGCATAGTTTCTTACGTCCTTCTTACGGAGTTCATACGAACACCGTTTAATTTGCAAGAACAACTTAAGAACTTCTAAAGAAACGCAGTGATTCTCGGTTATACAATGGCCCTAGAGTTTGTACGTTTTTCGTAAGAATGCCTCGAGTTTTTCTCACGTCAGACTTACGGCTATCTTACAAGTTTTTGTTCTCGCAAGATGGTCGTACGTTTAACTCACAGCAATAAGTCATTTGTAAGAAGATCTTTATTTTTTTTGTATAGAGTGAGTGAGACGAGTGAAACTGCTTGAATATATGATTCTCCATATTATTTCATTCTGTTGAAGATAGATTTTCAAACTGGTATTAAAATTTCTTAACCTACAAGACAGTATAAAGTATAAAATTTGTCTCTTGACTATGATAAACAAAGGAGACTGAATGATTGACAAATGCCCGTCATGTCAAAATGAGACAAAAGTCGCAAGGGCGAGAAGTTGAGAAAATGGGGACCATAATGGAGAATGTAATTTGGTATATTTGTATATATATCAGGAAAAAATACACAGGGGCTAAGGGTGATTATTATCTTCTATTAATTTGCCCCCTCTGAGCTGTACTTTCAAATTAAAGCATAAGAAACAGAGATATACAAATTATGATAAAATCCCCTCAAAAAAAAGAAAACTTCTGTCTCCCCTTCAAGTGATAGGCCAAAAATATCTGCTTTGAAATTAACAACCTCTCCTGAAAAAAGATACTGTCATATGAGGGACTTTTTTATCAGAAATCACAACAGAACACAAATGTATAGAGGTATAATGAAGTTTTAATCTTCAGCCTTCAAATTGTGGCATTCAAGATGAACAGAACATAAACTAATTTACAAGTACATAAGCTCCGGGTCGCTTGGCCAGTCTCTAAACTTGGTAGACAACGCCATCGACTGGGCAGCTCAGCTCTGTAATGTCCCTCTCGCTGACTCCCCACTTTATGACCACGTGCTCCTTATTGACGAGTGTCCAATACTTTAATAAAAAACATGGCAGCTTGGGCTCGCATCTCGCCTCGATGTGAAGATCTCTCAGTGAAAATGTTTCTACTGCCTTAATAGCTGAAATCTAGCTCGTGAATCACTTCTGCACCCTAACACTAACCTAAAGGGTTCTCTTGATTTTTTTTAAAACCACCACCTCCCTTTATTCCATTTCCTTGCCCGGTCATTAACATCAAACCATCCAAGGTATGCAAGACCAATTTACTTTCAATAGGTTCATATTTCTTTTTATATACCAACAGGTTGCCAGATAACAATTAACAAAAGGAAACATTCAATGGGCAGCCAGAAGCATGCATTAACAAAAAACAGATTAACTCTGTGTCGTAAATGCAAATCTATGCAATATTGCATGACTAACTCTAAACAACCTTTGAGCAGTACATTTCCTGCTAGTTCTTGAACGAAACAAATCCTGTCTAGTCTGGACAAAAATTCCTTTTATGACAGTTACTCAATTAGGGTATGTGACTAGGTAGAAGGCTGGTAACTGTTACCTCAAATGAGTATCTCCTTTATATTATTTACTTCTTTTATTTAAATATTTAATTTTTATTCTTCATTTGGAGGAAACGTGTTAATGGACAGAATTACTAATAATTATAAGAGCTTTTTACTGTAAGGATTAAGAAGTAAGAATGATAGACTATAAGAATAGGAATGATTACTCACTAGAGGTATTGAGCTCTGTGGCCAAGGTTTCTATCAGGTGTTTCTTGAACTTGCTGTTAGCTTATCTGTTACTTCCTTTATCATAGAAGCAGTCATGATCTCCGAAGAACTCTACAAGTCTTTGCTCTGTTGGAGCATCAAATTCATACTTCTCCTTTCTTAGTTTCCCTGTTACCTCATTTTCATCGCTATCAAACTGCTGTCTTTATACTTCTCCCTCCTCCTCGTCGTCATCTCTCACCGCCTTCTCCCGGTCGCTTACGATGGCCATCATTTCTGGATATTGTTGTTGCTGCTTTCCTCCTCTTTCTCCTTCCTCCACATATTTTTCCTTACGTTTCTTTCCATTCCCTCTCTTCCCTTTAACAGATTTCCCTTTTGGTCCCATATTTCTTCGACAGGAGACGAACACCATGAACAGAGCAAGGGATTTGAACGTTTGGCTTTATAACCGCTAAAACATAACAATTGCATAAATTGTGTACAGACACGTTACAAGCACCTTACGAAAGCCTTACGAACGCCAGGAGTTATTTGTCATTGTAGTACAAGCATCTTCTTGCTGTCCACCAGGCAGGCTATCAGTCCAAAATGTAGACCCTGCGTAAAAATATGACGTAGGTGAAAAACTATTGCTTTACTTGATTCTCCAAGCTAAACTGAATATATTTAAGCAAAACGAGAGAAGACCCTCTCTTTGAAGGCTCGGCAGGCAGGGCTTGCAATGAGGTCCGTCCTCTCTGCCTCCTCGCTATCTGGCGAGATCAGTCACCTGACTTTCGAGAGTGCTCGCAGGTTTAGGTTTTTCAACCGTTGCCGGTGCGATGACTAAAATGACGCCGGGAGAGTCTGGCTGTGCCTCTATAATTTGATCGGCCAACTCTGCTAAATCGCTGAGCGACAATGCTTCACTTGTAGAAGCGAGTATGAACCGAACATTAACCAGTAGCCGTTGGAGAAAGAGTTGTTTCAGTATTCCCTTCTGCTCCCCTAAGAACTGCTCCATCCTTCGCAGGAGCTGCGATAGCTTTCGATCGCCTAGTTCTTCCTCCGTGAGGAGCATTTGAACCCTGCGCTGTTCTGAAGCGCTCACACGCGCAATCAATTTAGCTTTAACCCTATGTTAACTGAGGGGGGGTCAATTTGACCCCCCCCCCCTGTAGAAATTTCGCGACTACTCCGAAACCGCGGCAGATATAAAATTTTCCTTTCACGACTTTTTACTTTCGAGTCTTACGCATCTTTTAAAACAATTTTTTCGAAAATCGGACCTACGGTTACAAAGTCACGTGACCTTTTGTCTTTGCATGTCAGCCCGAAAATCGCTCATTTTCATGACTTGTGTACAAAAAATATGTAAAAGTCATTTTTCCTAAAAATAGATAAAACATTGGTTATTGAGTCTTGTTTAAAGTTTAGATGTTTGTTTTGGGGTCAAAATAGTTGAATTGTAGTTATAAATGAAATAAAACAACAAAAACAATAAAATACATACATGTAAGTTAAAAAAACAATGAAATACATAAAAAATTATCAAAACAAGAGATAACATAAGGAATAACCTGGCTCTTCCAATTTTTTGTGTTGTATTATTATTCCAAATGGTCTAATAAATATATGTAGTGAAAAAGAATACTTAAATATGAATAATCTATGATTTATGGGCAGAAATGTGAATTTTATGACCTTATTTGCATAAATTAGCATAAATATGCAAATGAGTGAATTTTTCAAAAATTTGAAATTACCATAGTATTCTTTACACTTCACTTGACATGCATGCAAATTTTCGCGGCGATCGGCGGTGAAACGGCCGAGATCTTAGGGGGGGGTCAAATTGACCCCCCCCCCCCCCCAGTAAAAACCTGGTCTGAAATAGCCCAGTTAAGATAGGGTTAAGGGTGTAGTACTGGTAAAACAGAGTGAAAACTACATAGTTGCATTTGAGAGGCCATTGACACATGAATAAAAGCAAATTCAAACCAAATATGATTTTTTTCTTGAAAGATATATTATAAGCTTTGATTTACATCAGTTTTGACAGTTTTGCATGAGTTTACATGCATAAAATTTGCATAATTAGACGGAAATAAAAAAAACAAAGAAAAACAAAGAGCAAACTTCAAATCCTATCTACTCTGCCATCTATCATCCGTTTTATATAAAATATGGCACATATATGTAAAAAGGGTTCCTCTATAATGTAATGAGAGATTTTTGTGATATTGTGTCTCAGATTCATTAATTAATTAATTATGCTAATTTGCAGATTTCACTTCATCTTTCTCAAATAATGTAAGAATGGCTACCCCTATCACTAAAAGCCATCATTATTTTGAAGTAAGTGACATTCAGCACACACTGTCCAAATTTCAGCCAAATTGAATGATTCAATCAAAAGTTATTACAAATTATATGCCAAAAATGAGTTTTTCTGTAATTTGCGTTTAAAGATAACATAAGAAAATATTCACGAATCAATAGTTTGGTATGCGATTGCATTTCATTTGTCACTGCTCATGTCTTTCTTAGTCTCTTTTCATAAGGCTCCTGATCCATATGTAACACCTTCTGTCTCAGCACACTTTTCTTCTTCAACTACTTGCATGTAACTCTTTGCCTTCCTCTTCTTCTTCTCACTTTCTTGTGCTGATACAAGAGAACGTTTTATTCTTGACGTGTCCTTTGCATCATGCAATGATTTGGAGTGTTGCCCCGGAAGAACGCCCATTCTGGTCATGACTCGCTCCCTACCACTCGCACCAACATTCCAGTGGATAACGGCTGAAGCTACTGCTGCCCAAATGGCCCTGGGTCCCACATGCATTTCCTTTGGCCTCCTGCTCCACACCAATTTGTTGAAGGATTCATTCTGGTTCTGTGTGAATCCAGGTAAACATTTCTCCAGTAGCTTGGGGTCCGAGAGTCGAGTGTATATCGGAAGCATGTGTGGCAGATAATCTGCTGGCAACTTGTTGGAGTCCTGGTAGCTATTTGTGCCATTCTTCTTGTCCTTCTTCCATTTGCACCACTGGT